TATTGTTGTAATAAGCTGTGACTGGCTTTTTAACGGAGTTTTCATCATGTTTTCGGATTTTTCATGATTTGAAATGCTACTAATTCTTGGTGCAACAGTGCACTGACACAGTTTACAAAATGCTGCCTCCAATCCGTCTGAAGATCTTTTAAGCCATGAGTATGTTTCTCCTAATTAATTACTGATTCAGTGATTGCTAAGATGCTTTCAATTTTTTGGATGACGTGGCCACTGGTCTAAAAGTAATAAAATCTATCACAGATAGAACTAGGTCTAAATCCTATCTATTTTTTGTCTTCAAGTAGTTTCCGAACAGTCTGAATCACTTGGTATCAGTGGTAAATTAACATAAATTACAGAGGTTTATCGCAGTCACGATCCGTTTAGGAAGACAACAAAACAATAAGAAATGGCGCGAATCTCCGTTAGTCCGTATCAGGACATCACAACGAAGTCAAACTGAAATAAACATTTTAACTGTAGGTCTACATTGCTTTTAGTAAATCTGCGTGTTTCTACCAGAGGAACCACGAAGAAAATGTGAGCACATCTTGATAAGAAAAGCCAGGAAAAACCCAAATATGCCAGTTCATTATCTTATGCCAGTTCAATTTCAAATATGCCAGACTTGTGGAATCTGGCAACAAAACTGCCAATATGGCAACCCTGACTACATGGTCGTGGTGGGGGTGGCACTTACCTCCCTTGCATATGTTCTAGTTTGGAGTAGGGCTCAGCCACCACCCCCCCCCCCTCACCACCCCCACCCCGCAAATTTTTTTTTTCGGGATGGAGCAGCAAGGTACATGAGCTCCAGTGTTCAGGCGCCCCATGTCCTCGTCACTATCTCTTTGGCGGGGCCATCCCTTATGCTGCAAGAATCTCATCATGGATACCAATCCAGATGGGCTAATCCCAGATACCTGGCTCAACGTGCAAAGATGTGGCTGAAAAAGGTTCACAAACCATGCTGAAAGAAGGCGGAGATAGGCATGATTAAATAAACACCATGTCGATCGCCTTTACTTCCAGGGAACGATTCATGATATCCAATTTAAGCTGGATCGACATGGGAGCAAAGGTCAGTTCTGATTCACCTCGGTGGGGACTCCAACCCAATAGACCGGGTTTCTTCTTCTTCTTCGCGTTCACCGGCTGTAAACTCCTGTGGACAGTTTTGGTTGTTTCTGGACTCTAGTCTTGTTCCATAAACTGAGTGTTACGTGTACATCCGTTTCACAGATCTTACACATTTTCCTTGCAGATTGCTGGTTCCTTGCGTCTCAAGCAGATGTACTCCGACTTCGAAGGAAGCTCCCAATTGGTCAACTCTTATGACATGCTTTAGGGCAGGCAGTGGGTCTTTTCTTGTTTTCACGATCTTGTTCACGTTTCCAGGCCCAGGATTAGAGTAACTTCCCTTGCCGTTCATGCCTCATTATGTCTCCTGTGTTACGGGGGCATTATGGCTTGGTTTGGCGTTGGCTCGGCGAATGGGCGAATGTAACTAATGTCTGTGGGAGGTTGTGTTGTTGTGAGTATATATATATATATATATATAACTGCTGATAGAGACGTCTGGCGATCTCTCTGGCAAACCTCTACACCCCAAGGTAGAAGAGGAGCGACTAAGTATATATATATATATATATATATATATATATATATATATATATATATATATATGTGTGTGTGTGTGTGTGTGTGTGTGTGTGTGTGTTACTCCTGTGTACAAGTAAAAAGTGCTGCAAGGGGGGGGGGTGGGAGAAAGCAGTTAAAAGGAGCTTAGGAATAAAAACAGTATCGCTGTTTCCGTACTCCCGAACTGTCACGCAGGTAGCAGAACGTGAGAATAATCACGCAAGCGGTAAGAAGACTAGAAAAGAGACAACGGTTAAACAGTTTACAATAAGGAAGACATGACTCCCCGCAACATAGTAGTTCCAGTGGCCTAAGGATGCATGAATAGCGAGGGAAGTTACTCTAATCCTGGAATTGGAAACGTTAACAGAGCCGTTTTCCCTAGTTGACCATGTTCTTAGTGCACTTGCATTCATGGCAAGGCGCAGACGCTGTCTGGAGGTGACAGGTTCAATTCCCGGCACGGTAACTATAGCTTTCGATTTTTATGTTGTATAGTGTGTTCTTCTATCTATCTACTTCTTTCTATGAGTGCCGATTAATACACTTTCTGTTACTTGATTAATTCCCTACAATGGTGCCCCGAAACCCACACAGGGATGTATGTCGTTTAACACCACTAGGACCGTACAAGGAGCGACCAACACCCGGTGACACAAAGCACCACTATTCGGATGAGGATCACTCGGGCACAAATCCTAGAAAACTGTTAGGTTATATTAGGGCCCCCGACTAACGCCTGGGTGGCGCCTTAAACTAACGAAAAATTGCGTTCCACACATGAGGAAGACCGGATTTCGAATTTAACCTTTCCCACCCTCGCCCCAGATTACGTCTGAAAATACATAGTGGGATTACTGAAGTATTGTAGATAAGCTTACGTAGATAGTCTAATGTTCCGTTTAATCAACGATTGGCCCACGCTGTGATCACCACATTCACATGTTGTTAAAATAAACACACCAATTTGTAGATTCTGCTGCGTATTTATCATAGGTGTAAATGTGCTTTGAAAAAAGCTGTCGATGTTTTGTAACCTAGCCGATTAAGAGGGCGTTAGTGTCAAGTTATTTGGGTCATTAGTACAGATGCACAACATAATGCGGAAAAAATGGTGGGGTGGGGGATGGGGGGTTGAACTATTATCATTCATTACCCGCACAGGAGTGAATGCTGGTTCTCAAGCCAGCGAAAAACAGCCGTGACTGCTCCCACTTCAGTTGTTGTCAAACTAGATGTTATGGTATATTAAAGATCCACCCTAATATATTTGTATATAATTTATATAATAAATTGTTTATTTTACAGCCAGGTTATCGTTGGAGGGGGGGGGGAGTATAGGTTACACGGGGTTTCTCTGACTTGAGCCGGACGTTTCTCATCCTAATAGTGGCACTTTGTGTCACCAGATGTTTGTCGCTCGTTGCCCGGACAAATGTTGCTGAATGTAATGTCCTCTTTTAAATCCCATTTTGTTACGTTGGGGGAGGGGGTGTGAGTATCTTATCATATACTCAATGGGCTTGCAATATTCTCGAGGTGGGGGGGGGGGGGAGGGTCGTGGGTGTCTTGCCTTTTACTCAAGAGGTGCGCGATCTGAAAAAGGTTGAAGTCCACTGCAGTATACCACGACTACCAGCAATTCTTGGAATAAACAAGATGTCCCACACAAACAGTAGGTAGGCCCCTTGTGCATTCCAGGGTGATTCACATAGCCTCATTGTGTATGCGTTCCAATTTCTGCAACTGAGTCTTTGACACGACTGGCATCCCCAGACCATACTCAATGACTGAAATAATAAGGCACTAACTGAGCGTGTAAAACATCCCTTGTTCTACATCAGCAGCAACCGTAATCGTCAGTGCACTGAGTTCTCTCTTTGCTCTTAAAACCACTGCATCCCTGTGGTCTTTGAAATACATTCCTCTGTCAAATATAACTCCTAGATATGTTAGTGTGTGGAAGTTACACAACTATAAGAGAATATGGCATACGACACCAATAGGTGTGTGTGTGTGTGTGTGTGCGCGAGCGCGCGCCACTAATGCATAATAACCAGCGAGAAAACAAGAATACATACTTGACAAGACAGATGTGGTCAAGGTCCTGTAGGAACAAGCAACGGAATTAGTAGAGAAAGAAGATTATTATGGCCTGGAGAGAATGAGGCACCTGTGTGTAACCAGATGGTCTGGCCGACCCATTACACTCAGAGGAAATGCAAGACGGACATATAACCAGATTGTGACCGGTACCATCAGTATTGGAACTCTGCACTGGCTGCTGAAGGTGAGGACGGAGCAAGCATGGGAATGCCACGAGTGTTGTGATGTCAATTCTTGACTCAGCTCAACTCAACGCAAGAACAAGAATACATACTGACAAAGAATATTAGGATACTTCATGTTCTTAGTGTAAAAACAAAACGTGAATTATTATATCAGTTAAAATAGTCAACAATCAAAGAGGACGTTTACAAAGTAAGAATAAACTAAGAGAAACACTCCAGAAAAATACGCATCAATACAAGAAGACGCTTATAAAATAAGAGAAACACTTAAAAAAAAGATACAAATCTGAGAAGCCCGGGGAAGACCAGTGATAAGTGTACGTGTAGTCGTGTACCAATAAAGCACATCGGCGACCGGGTTGCCAACTGGCTCACCGGTAGATCTGAGCATTTATGGATGTGTCCAGAGTGCTGTGAAGATAATCCACGTCCGACTTGAGCTATTTATAGCTCTTGTCGAACATGGATAACCTATCTCCTAACTGTAATTCTGAGAAGCCTAAGGCGACCACCAGTAAGTGTGCGTGTCGTCTACCACCAAAGCAGGTTATTCACTGACATAACTAGAATACACATTGACCCAGAAAGAGATGGTTCATGTTCTTAGTGTAAAGAAAAACGGGAATTATAATTATGTAAGTTAAAATACATAAACACAGTCAAAAGGACACATATATTTTTATACTTGGAGAAACACCGCATAAAGTGATATGCATGTAATTCTGAGAAGCCTAGGGGACATCCACACTGGAGCATGTGATTCACAGAAAGAACATTCATCAAGAATGAGATGTTTCGTGTTTTAAGTGCAAAGAAAGCCGTAAATTGTGACAATGTTAATCCAAATAAATCGTTACAACCAGTTAGATCATAAAAGAAGATACTTATATTTATAGTGGGGAAAACTCCACAGAAAGTGACATACACGTAATTCTGAGAAGCCCGGAGACGTCCGCCAATAAGTGCGTGTCTACCACTGGAACATGCTGTTATCCAATGGGAGAACCGCTTGTATACACAACACAGAACGTCATGTGATGGCGATCAATATGAGTCCGAGAACCTGACATGGCCTTGCTCCAACGAATATTTTCGTCAAAAAAAGGGCCGAGAAGTTTTTCTAACGATACCAACGCTCGCAGGAACGACCCCTTACAGTAAGTGTCCTATCTGTGATTGTTACGGTGGTTTTGTTCGCGTCCAGCGGGGTGTTTTTTGTTGAAGTATGTCACGAGCCCACTCCTGTGGTGACTGACCCACTGGTGCATGCCCGGGGCCTGGTTTAGTGTAAAGTCCCATCACATGACGGTGAATGTCAGTCATGTGCTCCATGTAAACAAAACGCTGTGAACAGCTTGTTGTAGTTCAATAACTTGTTACCATTTACTGTCCTTATCCACGGTTTCAAATATCATGATAGAATTTTCATAATTTGGCGTCTATGTGTCGTGTGAAGGTGAAATGAGTGTTAATTAATTAATTGCGATACAGATACGTACTACTTGATGAGTTCAATAATCAGTCTATAAAAACAGGACTTGTTTAATAATTCAATTGCGTTAGTGATTGATTAGATTAGAACATTAATCTATTCTAAACAAATAATGTGAGTACACTTAAGTTACCATTTGACTGATTGTCACGAGTCAGCAAACTAGTGTATTGCTTTATTCCGACGTGTGTGTTTTACGTTTTGGTAGTTACTATCTGCAGTCAGTGTAGCAGTTAGTAATAAATGCTAGTACTCAGATAGTGGTAGTTAAGTTAGTATTATAATTATTGACGTTTAAACTATATATATATATATATATATATGGCTCTCCCCCCTGAACTTCTACCCGGACATTATGGCACCGCCGGCCGGGCCGAACAAATATCCTTACTGGCTCAGTCCTATTAAAAATATGCGAACTTCTGGTGACGAACGAATAGTGGCAAAACTAGAGTCGGCTCCGTATAGCAAAACAAATGCTCTAACAGGTTCTCAGAGATATGTTAATTGCGGACCTGTTTCTTATTGTTTCTTATTAGCTGACAATTTTAAGAGACGCAACACTGCAGACGATAAAAGCGACCGCTGACACTTCTAGCGTTTATGCAGACGATAAAAGCGACATGGCGGGAAGACCACGTGCGCCGACGCAGATTAGCGTCGTTGTTGTCCTCAAACTTTTCGGCATGCGCAAAACGCGGTTATACTCACCGCTGACAGTATCCCTCAGTTTAGCCCGAATCCGCGCCGCGCGGGGGATACGGTCGGCCGTGAGGCATAGTCACAGAAACAGGTCCGCAATTAACATATCGCTGAGACCCTGTTAGAGCATTTGTTTCGCTATACGGAGCCGATCCTAGTTTTGCAACGATTCGTTCGTCGCCGGAAGTTTGCATATTTTTCATTGGACTGAGCCCTGTAAGGATATTTCAGGCCGCCATAATGCGAGGGTAGAAGTTCGGAGGAGAGCCCTATATATTTATTTAGTTTAGAAACAGTAATCCCCATAGTATATATATATATTATAATAATTGGCAATATTAATTGTTAACACTATTAACATTTGTCTTTATGCTCTCTCCATTTGGGTCAAGTGATTTGAGTGTAAAATTAACTAAACTTCCCATATAAATAAAGGAAATAATGAAAAAATATCAGTTTTATTTATCGCATTAAAGACAACTGAACATTAGATTTGCAGGTTTTTTCTTCTTATTTTCCTAAGCATTCAAACCACTTTAAGGGTAGTTATGCAGCGGAAAGAATTTTCCCCAACAGGGGTGCTGCGGCGACAAAAGTTTGAGAACCGCTGGTCTAGATTACTAATTTAACTGTTTGTGTCTCATAGTACCTATGCTGTACACTTTAGCCTTTAAAAACCCAAGCCCAGTTACACTTGCTAAAGAGTGACCATCTTCTAAAAGGACTTAAATGGCATTGATTTGTTCAATGAAAGTTCACAATTTGTTTATGTTTATGTTGAGATTGCTGAATTATTGATCCTATTTAGTAATCATTGCATCTCCTTGTAAAGTAAAGGACATCTTACATCTTGTAGCTTCTCATTAGGCTTTCAGTCAAGTTCTCCCTTCCCTGTATACACAACTACTGAATTGGTATCACATTCAGTAAATAACATGTCAGTGTTCATTCCAAATAAATTATTAATTGTGCAGTTAATTTACAGTGTAATAAAACAGATTATCCATGGAATAAAATTGCATGTAAATAAATTAGTTATTACCAAGTATATTAAAAATTTTATGCACAGTTAGTTATTACAGAGCATATGAAAGATTTTATGGACAGTCATAATCCTAGTTTGCTTAATGTTTCAGTGATGGTAGTAGACTGAAAATTTTAGAATGGTGCTTGTTTTATTTCCTTTGTGTTACTTGGATTGTGTATTTCTGAACTGTGCTGATTATAGTGTATGACATCCAATTATGGTGCTTGAACTAAGTGTGCTAGGCCTGGGACTGAAGAATATCTATGGTTTATGCAAACAGCCAGATATCAGGTAATTGTATACCTCAAACTCTCTTACTCTTCCCTCTCTCCCTTCCCTCTTCATTATTCTCATAAGGTAACAAAAAGCATATGAAATTACATTTGCTCATTAACCGTTTCATTGTTATGTTTTGCAGTATATGTTAAGGGGAACAAGCAACCACTGTGAACAATTATGAGTGTACATTATCCTGTCGTGCCCTTGTGGGATGCCATTTTTCGTTGATTTGAAGCCCCACCCTGGCTTTTGCAGAGGGCCCTGAATATAGCTGGGCCACAATTGTGACCATAACGGCTGAAAGGGGTTTCTGGGACCTCCCCACGGGTGATCCTCATCCACATGGTTGCACTTTGTGTCACCAGGTGTTTATCGCTTGTGTGATGTCCTAGTGGGGTACAATAAGCAAGCAAGCAATTATGAGTGTGCTAATTTAAAATAGACTAAATACACATGGAAGTTACCACCAGGAAAGACATACTTTTTTAGTTGTTCTTAACAAAAGGTTAAAAGGGAGAGAACACATTATGGGAAAGGTCAGATTTATTAAAAAGAGTTAGTGTTATTTCACACATTTGTTACACCTGAAATGGGTAATTAAAATTGTACAGTTAAAATTGGTACAGTTGTGGATTCTAAAGCTCCATTTTTAGGACAAAAGAACACTGCTCCCTGACAGTCATGTCATTACTAGTGACTAATTAGGGGTGTTTACTTCAGAGATTAAATGCATCTGCATGAAATGCAAGGAACCAATAGTTTGCCTACAAATAAGCCCGATCTGAAGTACTGGAACAAGACCAACATCCAGAAGTGGATGGACAACCAGAACTTTCCGCCGGGGCTTACAGCGGTGAATGCTAAGAGAAGAGAGTATAGTTATTCTTTCAGAAAGCTTCTTTATGGTGGTAAACATGGTTGATCACTTTGTTCACTAGTCTAAGACCTGCCTCAGAGTTGAAGACAGGGTTTGGCCTTGACCCTGACCCATCATCATCTCTAAATCTTAAAAATAACATTAAAAAATGGACGGAGTAGGTTAGGCTGTACTATTATCATCATGTCTCTTGTCGACTGACATTTGTGATCATGCCTGTCTGCAGTCTGCGGTCTTCAACACCACATATCATTTTGTATGCTGGCACCCCTCTCAGACTGTATCAACATGAATAAAAATAAAAATGCTGGTGGTTCAGTTGATCTTTAGCGGAAAAATGGTGGCTCATGTGATCAATGTGTTGATAAGTGAGTGATGTTCAACCCCACTAGGACTGTACAAAGAATGGTAAACACCCGGTGACACAAGGTGCCACCATTCGGATGTAAATCACCCGGGCACAAGTCCTAGAAACCCAGTTCAACCGTTATGTTATATTAGGGCCCCTGACAACAGCCGGGTGGAGCTTTAGAATAACAAAAACAGTTTTTTTCCCCATTTTGGGGCGGTGTTATGAAACGGTCATTAACTGATGTCCCATTCATCTGTTAACTGCTTACAGAATACTTTTGGTGCCAGTGAACATTTTGCTACAAATGTCATACCTCGACCCTTACTAAAACTAGCGAACTCAGAATCTTAACAACGGAGAGGAGATGTTTTAAAAAAGCTGCTGGTGCAACAAGAAGAGATAAAATTAAAATTGACCACATTAGAAGAGGACTAGGCTTGAAACCAGCCATACAGTTTATTAAAGAGCAACAGGTGTGATGGTTTGGTCATCTAATGATAATGCCCTGGTACCAACTGCTACAGAGAGCTAACCTGAAGAAATACAATGGACACAGGGCAAGGGGAAGACCATGCAGAACATGGAACAGTGGCATCAAGAGCGACCTTAAAACTAACTTATACAACACATTGGAAAGATCACACAGAAGATCCTTACATCTGCTTACAACACTTTGATGAGGCAACTGGAGGAAAAGAAGAATTAGATAATTTTTCTTGATATAACAGAAGCACTAATGTGGAGCTTAGGAAGTAAACTAAATTTCAGCAAATCAAGAGGGGAGGCAAGGACTGATTGACACACTGACCAACTGATATTAGTATAATTACAGTGTCCTTTCACTGGAACCCACAGGTAACAAAACGTAAAGGGTGATATATAGAAACACACAAGAAAATTACAGGTGGAACTAAGTTCTAGCAAATCAAAGGATGATGCTGGTTAGGACACTTATAAACAGACACAAAAACTGACAATAGGATAACTAGAAGGGCCCCCCCCCCCCCCCAAACTGGAACACACTGGCAGATGACATACAGGGTGATACATAGAATCACGGAGAAGACAGGGAAAGAACATAAAGCTGAAGTATCTATCTATAAAAGAGGACAACCTGACATAAGTTGGTTTAGGCCGTCTGTTCCATTGGCAGATAAAGAGCAGCAGAAGGAACACTTGTCTTTTCCTGCTTGTCTAATGAAGTATTCTATGCAGTCATTAAAAAAAATCTTTCTTCTCTACTCCAGCTGTTGTGAATTATATTTTTCATATCTTATCAAACTAATTGACCACATTACCCACCTAGTGCCAATGGTCTGAAAAATATGGGCTCTCCTCCCATATACCCGATACGCCTAAAAGCTTGATAAGGGATCTTTACTTTTTTTAACTTACTATCGAACTAATGCAAGACTAAAATAAAGCTTCTGTTGAAAGCTTGTACTTCAAACATTTCCTGATTATTGTTTTTAATTAAGGTGCTTATTGACAGGCCTTGACATTATTGTTATCCCATGTGTATTTACTTAAAAAGAGAAGAGAAACTCCTTGTTTACTGTCACCCGTAGAGATAACAGAAAGGGATATTTGGTGGTTTCAGAAACTGATAGCGTTCTATGTCCACATGTCTGTTATCAGATAGGGATTTTCACTGATCACATGCATCTATCATATGATACTCATGTGCATGGGAACGTTATGGCATATTGTAGGTATGCGTAGTTTCATATTGATTTTACTGAAACACATAAGTACAGGCCATGTTTTAATTAAACTGTTGATTTAAGCAAGAAAGTAGTTTGTGCTTTTGTTATCTGCTGAACTGTTTACAAGCAGAATAGTTAATATAGCTGCTAGAGTAAAAACTTTGTGCAATGGTGTGTCATGACATTTCTTCCAGTGTTACAATAAAGAATGACAAAATGGAGAGGTAATATGTTGAGGATGTAGAACTTAAAGTTTGTGTGATTTTTCTGATCTTTAATATACTGTATTTTAATCAGCACTTTAATCTCTTGTAGTTTTAGTCAGTCAGGTGTTTGTCTCCATAGTTTTGGGTTGATACATTAGACTATATCTATGTCTGTCTCATGTTTGTGATTAGAAATGAAATGTACTGATATTTGTCACTTTTTTGCCAATGAGGCTGTGCTGTTTGTACTCTGCCCCTGAGGGTAAGAAGGTTTGGGATGAAGAAACAAACACAAAAACATTGTATGAACATTACACTTTGGAACTTCACTACCTGGTGTTGAATTGATGCTAGATAGATGTGACCGAGACCCTTTTGGAGCGAGCAAGCAGTGCAAAAGCACAAAAAGATCATAGCTAACTGAAGAAAAGGGTGCAGCAGGGCGTGACCAGGAAATCTGGTCGATGCGCAACTCAGAGGAAAGGCAAGATAGCCATATAATCAGACTGCTACTAATACCGTTGGAACTCTGCACATACTGCTGAAAACATGGATAGAGCACTTGGAGAAATGTGCTGTGATGTCATGTGAACTGCATTATGGAAGAGATGGAACGATAGATACAGGAAGAAAAGTTGACAAGAGTATCTTGTTTACCTTGATATCGGCATGAGTATCAAATATAAAATGGCGTCATTTATACATTTCGTTTTCATTTCAGGAAAAAATTGCGTCTGATTTATAAATTTGGTTTTCATTTCAGGAAGACTGTCCCACCAAAGCTAGATAAATCAAATATCAGACTGGTTGTTTTTGCAGAGACAGACCGTGGCCGCACTCCTTACTTTGATTCCAATGCCATTACATGCATTGAAGAAGTAGACAAAGTAAGTATAACTTGGTCTCATTGCTATTATATAGATATAATACACATAACAGTAACTTGGGAACCCTTGAGGACACTGTTCAATTAGTGTCCTCTTGTAACTATTACTTTTTTCTGCACTTGTGGATGCCATTCTGTACATTACGATGTGTTTATCATATGTATAGGATAATCATAATAGCCTAGTAGCCACAGTGTTGAAAGTAATGTGCCTCTAGCAGTTTCTGTCTTTGGTTTTCACTGTATATTCTATTTTTCTGTATTTTGACCATATTTTACTGATATCTGTCTATTTATATTTTTGATAGTCTTGTATAATTTTCAGCAGATTATTGTGTCATATGAAGTGGCACAAAAACATTGTCTTTCTCATTTTTGGTTTCTTTGGGACTGCTATTTTATACTTTTATGATAAAGTGATCTGGAACTGTGTTCATCATTCTGAAGTACAGAGCCAGAATACCACATTCAGTCTCCGAAGAAGATAAGTTATATTTCAGGTACCCATAACCACCTCACCAGTCCCTATGTGGCTAAAGATGAGACCTGATATATGGTTTTATCAACAGAGAACATCATATCCTCTTGTTGTTCAGAAATCTGTTATTGCCTCTCATTTGTTCAGTAATAATACAATTGACAGAGAAATAGAAACCAGATGCCAGAAAGCAAGTGCAGATATATCAGTTATCACCATTATTAAGACATCAAAACATAACCATGAGTGCAAAAAACAGTTAATAAAGAGCATATTCATACCAACATTGAGCTGCCAGCGCCAAACATGGACATTATGTGATACCCGTTTATTCAAAATCGCCACTTGGGAGATGAGATACCCAAGAAAAGTCGCCAACCTAACCATTTAAGATCAAGTGAAAAAGGTTACTATCAAAAAGACTTTAGGAACAATACCTTGTACTAAATTTTAGAAACACCGGGAAGGCTAACCCGGTCAACAAATGCCCGCAGAAGTCGGATGTGTTGGCCGAAAGGTGCAAATATCACAGCCATGCTGTAAACGGACACAGCGCAATTACATCTTCGGATGAACACAGAAGAAGGAGAATTTGAGAAACAGCAGATCAAGTGGTTTGGTATCTCATTAGTCTCAGTCTTGGTCTTAATCAAGGTTTCAACTTCACTGCAATCATGTTCCCCATACTTGCTCCATTCCGGTGCCAGGGAAAATCAAATGAAATGTCCCTCACAGTCTCATCTCATTAGAATACAGCAACATTAAATACCATCACAGGCACTACATCTCAGATGGATCAGCTACAAGAGCAAGTGGATGGCCGTGAAAACGTGGATCGAAAACATTAACGACACTTATGCCTTCACGGCATGACAGTAGCCATGCCTGTAAGTGTGCACTGGATCACAAATTATTCATTCACATGACGCTTAATGACAGGAGTGTTTTATGATGGTGAGGGATAATTAATGCACATGTGATTATAAATTCTATTAATCATGTGTTGAATCTATAACATTTGTTGTCGTTTTTGTCTGCAGCAGAATGTCTTCAAAACAGCCCCAAAAACCATGCGAGCAAGAGCATTTAATCATCCTGGACAAGGAGAGAGTTCTCTCCCTTCACACAGGCAGAATGCAAAATATCATGTAAGTGTTTGGCTTTACTTATTTTCTTCCAATAAGGGCATTATGTTGAGCGTATTTTGTTGTTTGTGCTGAATAATATGTATTTGACGTCAAGTATCAATAGTAGAACAAATAACGTGTTTCTTCTATCTCAGCAAGAAATAACAGATGATAGCATAAGTGAAACAGAAAATAAGAAAAGAGAATAGGAAAAGCTAAAACTGTGTTCAGTAAGATGTGAACGTTGTTGACAGCTGTTGAGATAAACAACACAGTTATTGGTATCGTCAAATTTTATGTATACTCTGCTCTTCTGTATGGTGCGTAAAACATGGACAATGAGTAGACAATTAGATTGAGTGTCTGGAAATATGTATATAAAGAAGAATAGGTCATATTTCATTGAAGCAAAAACAGTCAAATACAGAGGTTCTGGAAAGCTTGCAAATCAGTTGAGTTACTAAAATAAATAAAAAAAAGAGACAGTTGAAAAATTTTGGCCGCATCAAAAGATATAACTCTATTTAAAAAAACATACTTGAGGGAAAGGTCGAAGGCAAGAGAGTAAGAGGTAGACAGTGATAGAAGTGGAAGGACAACATAAAGCGATGGAAAGACAGCACTGAGAGAGTGTACAACTAAGACCTGAGACAGAGCTTATTGGGGATTCACTGCAGCCAGCATTCATTATGGAGATGACATCTGATTGATTGAAAACAGTAGTAGAAAGCAAATAGCTACAGACCTACAACTGTAGCTGCAAGAGAGGCATTGCATTACAGACATGGAAAAAAGGAACCCATATCTTTCTCTTTTGTACTTCTCTGTTCACTCTGAAAGGGTGGATACATTTTGTTGTGGTTTACAGATGGGCTGCCATATATATGTGCCCAACACATCCATTTTGGCTAACCTTTAATTATTTTAACTCTTTATACCCAAACGTTCATTACCTACAGTAATACATTTTTTGAACATAGCAAGTTGATGTAACACCTATATGGTACTGAAAGAACCCCTACACTTGCAGTTTTAGAACTCACGTTTAGTGCCTTGTAGGTAGAATAGAGATATTCTAAGGCTAGAAAAACCAACTAATGAGAATAGGAAATATTGGGCTGTAGGCTTGACAAAACTTTTTATATGCATGCCTGCTGGTGGACTATTTCACAGTCGTTACAGAAGAAAATAGGGGGCTTTTGAACTGAAATACTGCCGAAAGAATCTAACAATATCATGGACCAAGAAAAAGTGAAATACTGACATCCTGAAACATCTGAACCTCAAGGAAGATTAGCTAGTAAACAGAATCTTGTCTTAGCGAATTTGAAAGAATAATAGCCAAAGGCGTAGTGCCAGGAAAGTGAGGCAGGGGCCAACCAGCACGAAGATGGGTTCAGGATATAAGTGACACTTTGGGTACGAAAGTGCACAAGGCAGGAAAGCGGTCGAGAGACAAGAGTTTCTTTCAAGTAGATGTGATGACATTGATGTTCTGCAAAGGACCAGTTACATAATAATGATGCATGACTTAGTGTTTGCAAAGGGCTGTAATTTAAATCCTTACACAAATATATGTCATTCAGTTGAGCTGTCATGTTTTATGTATAAACAATTAGGACACAAGTGAAATATTGCATAATGTATTCATGGCAAATTTGGTTGCATCTTACCAAGGGTAATACCCAGAGTTTACATCAACACATCTTCTTTTGTCAGTATCTGCTCTATGTTGCAGTTTAACAGATGATTAATAGCTGAGCCAGGATGCATTCGGTTGCCTGGTATGCTGTGATGTCGTAGAGTCTCAAGTGTTAGTTACTCCTTCAGTCCATCTTCTTGGTCTGTCTCTTGGTATTTCCATTTTCTTTTTATACATTCTCACTCCCTGCATTGTTGGGTTTATTCTCACTAGGTGGCCTAACTGTTTCAATCTTTGTTTCTCAATTAATTTAACAAGGGGTATTGATCCAATACCGCCTGTCATCTGACATTTATATCAACACCATCTGGCATAATATCAACACATAAAGAAGCACAAAACCTGAATCCTTCTAACTAAAATCAACTGTTTTTATACTCTTTGAATTTATAGTTTATTCAAATTCAAATTCTCTTTCTTTGACCACTTTCAGCTAGGTCCGTTCACATTTCTGCTCACTTTCCTTTCAGCTATATTTGTGGTGACGTTTTCTGGTCGCGATCTTATTTGATTCTGGATTGTGTTTAATGTTGTCACTTTCTGTTTGTTGTGGTTTCCGCTCTTGCTGTTGTTTTTGTAATCTGGCTGGCCCTGTGCTGCGCTCAAGATGATTGGATGTTGGATCGATTTATTGTCGTATTCCTTGGCTGTTTGTTGTTTCCGGTGAAAGTAGATTGCCTATCCTAATAAGGACCGGCGGTCGATTGACTTGGGCAGGTACTGATGGCTATACTGCTGAGGTCTGGTATTATTTGGCGATTTTCTCGTATCCTTGTTGTAAAGTACTGCTCCTACATAGGGTTTCGGTAATTTGGTTTTGGTTGTGTCGTATCTGGTATTAGTGTTTGGGGTAACGATGTCGACCTCGTTTGACTTCAAATTTTGGCTGTCGATGTGGTTCCTCTGGTGATGACCAAAAAACATCATCATCCTGCAGTTCTGAGTTATAGAAGTTCGGGTCCTCCATCTCCATGATGCGTTGGTTAATTTGGTCAATTGTTGCCAACGGAAACTGTTTCATCAGCGATGCCTGAGTTTTCTTATCTGGTGTTTGATGCGGCTTTTTCTGGGTCTCGGCTCCCTGTATTTGCTGCCTTCTTGTTGCCTCTTTCCGTGCTTTCTCTCTTTCTTCCATCACTCTGTTGGTTGCTTGCAGTTCCTTGTTAAGTCTGTTGTTTTCTTCGTATGCTCTTCGTAACTTTTCCTCTGTTTCAGCCAGTGCCTTCTTGATCATTGCGATTTCTTTCGCGAGAAGTTGTTGGTTAACCCGCAGATCATTGATGCCCGCCTCGTCTTCCCTTGCCTTAGTTGGTTGTTCCTTGTGTGTCTGGATAGTGGCCAGTGCATTCATGATGTCCTCCTTGAATTTCGTCATCTCTGCTGTCATCCGTTTCTGGGTGTCAAGAGTCGCCTGCATTATAGCTCTCAGGCCTGTTATTTCATCTCTGTCTTCATCTCGTTGGGTTTTGGATGCGTGTTTCTCGTCTCTGAGAGCTTGGATGTCACTTTTGAGTTGAGCCACCTCGTTGCTCAATTTGGTGGTAATGGCTGCGGTTATGCCTTGGGTTGCTTCGTGTCTTCTGCGGGCCTCATGGTATGGAATCTTATCCCGTATGGCCGTGGTTGCAATTTCTCTACATTGTTGCAGATAGGGGCACCCCAGGTACCTGGTGCTGTGCTGGCCGTAGCAGTTGGCGCACTTTCTGTTCGTATTGGGTGACTTAAAGTCTGTGTCCAGCTTTGCCAGCGGGCAATTGTTGAAGGCATGGTGTTGTGAACAGTATCGGCATACTTCATGTTCGCTCACACAAGTGGGCCCGGGAGTGCCATGCTTTTTGACAACGAGAGCACTGGATCACCTGTGGCACGTATTGCTCTGGTCTTTGCATTCTTTGATCTAGGTAGACTTTATCCGGGATGTTTTCTCCTTCCGATGTTATCACCGCCACTGGCAATGGATGCCGTTTTGAGCCCAGTCTCTCTGCTTGGTTGATGTTGACATTGGGGTTTTCTTTCCTTATTTGTTGCAGAATTTCTTCGTTGCTCCATTGCAGGTTGACTCTTCGGATCACCCAGCGTCTTACATTCTGGAAGATGGTGGCCGTCACAGTTATCTCCTCGGATAGTCGGAGTTCTTTCTTGCCGTCGTGTTGGATGTCATCCAGCATGTCTGAGGTGCGGTTGGTTCTGTTTAGTGAAGCTATCACTCCTTCTCGAGTTTTCCTAATCTTTGCGACTGCCCTCTTGCCTAACATGATCTCCAGCATATTGATCAATGTTAGCGTTGCCAGTGTAGTGATTGCTGTCCGGCCCGAGTTGGTCTGTCGTAGAAATATTGTGGCAGGAAATTCATAGCTGCCTGTCTTTCGTCGATCTGGAGATGTCTGTGGACTTGGCTGTGTTGGTTCAGGTGACGCTGGGACGTCACTCAGGGCCTCACTGGTAGTAGGGGCGTCTTCCTGTGGTTCGGTAGTATCTGTCTGCGTCTTCCTGGCCTCAGAGTTAGATCGAGTGGATCTGTCAGTGGGCTGTTTCCTCTGTCCGTTGCGCTTTCCGTTAGGTTTGTTTCTCCGAGACATGGTGCTTGCGGAGAAGGCCTCTCGCTCTGGCAAATACTTTGTATTGTGTTATGTGAGTTTCAGTCCTATCTGGTGATAATTGCGGAGAAGTCCTCTCGCTCTGCCTATCCTCAAAGGGACCAGCAGGTACTGTATTGTGCAGATATCAATATCTGATGACAATTGCGGAGAAGTCCTCTCGCTCTGCCTATCCTCCAAGGGACCAGCATATACAGTATTGTGCAGGTATCAATACTATCTGATGATTGGCTGATAAGGTGGAGCCGAAGCCGCTGATGTGCTGTTGGCCGAAACTATAGTTTAAAAAATCACCAGCTTTTATATACTTTGAATTTGAAGTTTAAAAAGAAACTGTTTTCATATCCTCTGAATTTGCAGTTTCAGAAATTAGGAAATGATGTCAAGGTACTCGAGGAAATGATGTTTGGAACAGTGGCAATGGCATTTAAAGGTTTAACACTTAAAGTCCATCTTTTGAGGTGAGTAAGACATCATTCCCAATCTAGAAGAAGAAATTATTACACAGACACTAGTTGCCTCCAGCGAGTCATTCACAATAGAGGAGATTAAAACAGCTATTAAAAAATTAAGAATAAACAAAGCTACCGGAGAGGACAACATCTCAGGGGAAATGCTCAAAGCAGCGGATGAAAACACCCTGCAACATTTGCTCCAGCTGATGGATGAAGTCTGGCAAAACAAATACCCACCACAACAATGGAAAGATGGTGTAATCTTCAAATTAACTAAAAAAAAAGGTGATTTATCGGATTGTAACAACTGGAGAGGCATCACCCTGCTTTCGATAGCAGGGAAACTATTTTGTAGTATGCTACTAGAAAGATTGAAAAAATCCATAGATGAAAGATTAAGGGAAGAACAAGCCGGTTTTAGATCCAAGCGGTCATGCATAGACCACATCTTTACTCTTAGAATAATTGTTGAAGATTCTACAGAATTCCAGTCAAAATTATTGATCAACTTTGTCGACTTCCAAAAAGCCTTCGACAGTATCCAACGTCCAACACTCTGGAAATTGCTTAACATCTATGGTTTCCCCATCAAATATATCAACATCATAAAATCTTTTTATAATGAAACACGATGCTGTGTAAGAACTGATTCCGGCAATTCTGACTGGTTCCTGGTGGAAACAGGAGTGAAGCAAGGCTGGGTCCTATCGCCGATGCTTTTTGGTATAGCAATCGACTGGGTCATGCCCAAGTGCATAAATAACGCAAATTTAGGCATTACATGGGTTGACAAAATTCTGGAAGTTCTAGACTTCGCCGACGACATAGCACTCCTGAGTTCAGAACACACAGACGCCCAAGAAAAAATCAATTGACTCTAGAATTTCTCAGAACAAATTGGACTCCAAATTAACACCGCAAAAACAAAAATTCTAGACCTTACCAACAGTTCAGTTGATATCACACTGAACAACAACAGCCTTGAAAAAGTCAAGTTTCACTTATCTAGGGAGCAAGATGTCATCTACAGGAGATACCGCACCAGAAATACCATTTAGAATAGCACTGTCATCTAGTGCCTTCAATAAACTGTCCAACATCTGGAAATCAAAGACACTTAGCAAACACACAAAACTCAAGATCTTCAATTCTTGTGTGATTCCAGTACTAACCTATGGATGCGAGAGCTGGAAATCAACGAAAACTCTAGACACAAAATTAGACAGTTTTGAAAATAAATTCCTTAGAAGAATACTTAATTTCAAATGGTCAGATTTCCGAACCAATACACAAATAAGGCAAGAATCCAGGCAAGAGTATGTGTCTAATTTTATACGAAAACGCCGCTGGAACTATGTCGGCCACACCCTTAGAATGGATAAATCAAGACTTCCTTACCAAGCCCTCATTTGGACACCACAGGGTAAAAAATCTCGTGGAAGACCAAGAGAAACCCTACGTAGAACTATCATCAGGGAAGGGCCACTCAAACATCCAAGACCTACAACAGATTGCAACGAACCGCATGCATGGAGAGTCATGACCTCTGCCCTATGTGCCGCACTCGACACAAGAGGAAAGACTAACTAACTAACTAAGACTGGTTAAAAAGCTTAGCAAGTCCTGTCACTACTATTTGCACACATGTTGATTACTTCCCTTTTTAGTTATAGTGCCATAAAAATGAAGTTTTATGTATACATTCCACTTTAATGAAATTATTTTACTAGAAGACCTAAAAAATTCTATCATAGAGGAACTGGTGGCCATGAAATTTATGTCACAGAGGAAATAATGACTTTGAAATGTAAATTATAGAGGAAGTAGTGGCCATGAAATTTTTATTATAGAGGAAGCAGCAGCCAGAAAAATGTATATCATAAGGAAGCAATAGCCATCACATTTATATCATAAAGGAAGTAGTGGCAAGGAAATTTATATCACAGTGGATATAGTGGCCATACAATTTATATCACAGAGGAAGTAGATGCTCTCCAGCAGATCGGAAAGTCGTGGTTTTGGGTTCTGACGGAGCTGGGCTTTCTTAAAAAATGACCTTGGCTTCCATGTCGACCTAGCCTTGAGTGTTTACCAGGTGTTGTCCTGGGAAATAAAGTCGGCCAGCGTGATAGTGACCACATCATCCATCAAGAGCCAATTGGTCTTTGAAATATAGGTCTAGCCCTATATGCCCGGTACGCCTGAAGGTTTTGAAAAGGGTCCTTTACTTTACAATCAGCAGGCCACCTGTTAGGCCTCTATGAACCATATTCAACCCCTAAGCCTTCAGTTGAATAGCCCTGTCAAAGAGTAAGTAGTGGCCCATGAAATTTCTATCATAGAGGAACTGGCGATGACGAAATTTATATCATAGAAGAGCACATGGTTAACATGTTGTTCCTGCCGTCTGATCATGTTTTGCAGATTCACAGTCATCACTTGGTTCTCATAAATGCCTTCTCATAGAGCATTCAGAATATCAGGATGATCCATGGCTTGTCCGCCCTCCACCATATCTTTACCTGCAGGCTGACCAGCTCGCTCATTTCCTTGCATGCCTGCATGCCATGGCATAAATATAAAACTGATATGTGTCAGCCTTGACCGCTTTAGAGACCCCAACCCCTGCCTTTGGATTCAACGCTTCTGTATCTTCCTTAGCAATCTTAGGTCTGTGTCTCCAGCCGTTTTATTGCTTTGGTTACTGTCATGACCTCCATAGTCAGACTACTTGTGGTCAAGGCAACAGCCCCATAATCTTAATGAGTATAATGTGTTGTTATTTGACATTTTTATTGTAAAATTTACTGCCTATGTTTTTCTTAACGTTATACAGTTGATATACATTGTCCTCTCAGGTCACCACCACAATTGATGGTCTCTAAAGTGTTCGTTCCAGAGAAACCAAACAGGGACAGTGCTGCGTAAGTCATTTCACATCATGGATGTCTACACTTTAGTTTATTGAACCATGTTTATTTGATCTTATGTAGCTCTGTGGCTTAGAGATTAGTGATTACGGTTATCAGTTGACCTCAAATAGCTCCCAGTTTGACCCTGACTTAAATGGGGCTAGGTAAAGGATTGGGAAGTAACGGCGACTGTGCCTGATCTTGATCACACCACCCGCCAAATGCTGATTGGTCATTAAAATATAGGTATAGGGATGTATGCCTAAAGGTGTGGAAAAGGGTCTTTTACTTTACAAAATAATGGCACTCTAAAGCTGAAGTTTGGTTTTTGTAAATATCAACTCATTAAATTTGTTCTATAGATCCTGCCACCAAATGGGAAAGACTGTCCTACCATATATGCATTGCTAATGGCATCAAAAAGATAGATGGAAACAATTTAAGGGTTGATTTAATCTACAGTGGAGTTGTGTCGGCCAAGTGGCTGGTACATTTGTCTACCATGACAGTGGGTCTGGTTCAGTCCCAACAGAGGCAGGAAATTCCTTTTTACCTGTCTAGCTGGGGGGGGGGGGGGGGGTGGAGAACACACACACCAGTCAGCCATTACACATATATAACATTTGCCAGCTGTGCGCTAAAGGTGCAGATTAGCCTCAAACATAGTACCAGGTGATTAAACTTAGCACTGTCACTGGTCTCTCTCTCTCTCTGTCTCTATCTATCTCTCTTTCTATCTCTCTCTCTCTCTCTCTCTCTCTCTCTCTCTCTCTCTCTCTCTCTCTCTCTCTCTCTCTCTCTCTCTCTCTCTCTCTCTCTCTCTCTCTCTCTTAGACTCTCATAAAAGCACACTTCCCATGTGGGTTCCAGTGCTCAGTTGTTTAGTATACTGAATATACCTACTGCCCTCCCTAACAAGCATGTCATAGGAGCCAACTGATTAAGGGTGTTTCCTTCGAAGTCAGAGTGTATCTGATTGAGAAACAGCTGGCCATGTGCATACAGATAAATCAGGTCTGTAAAATGGATGTGCACGCAAAATGCAGCCTCTGAAACAAGACTACAGTACAGAAGAAGGCAGCCAACCAGAACTTTCCGCCGGAGTTTACAGCTCATGGCCATGAAAAAGAAAGAAGATTAGTTGAGTGTTACACCTAGACCATTGTTCCTTCTTCTTCTGCCGCCCCCCTCCCCCCCACCCCCCCAGTGGAGCAGAGGCCCTCGGCCAACGCACACCAAGCCGTTCTATCTTTTGCTATCGCATGCAACTCTCCCTATGTCCTTCCCATCTTTTTAACTTCATTCTCCAGCTCCCTTTTCCGTGTTATTTTTTGTCTTCGTTTATTCCTGTGCCCCTGTGGGTTCCATTGCAAACTCATTCTAGTTATTGTTCTCCGGTTTTCTCAATATGTGTCCTATCCAACACCAGCATTTTTTCTTTATCTCTTGAACATCTGGAACTTGCTTAGTTCTCTCCCAAAGGTCTATATTAGTGATTACCATTTAATTCTGACCATAGTTTCCGATTTACCTAAACAGCTGGGGGGAGGGGGGGATGCCCTAACACACACACACAACTGCATGCACACACACACACACAGAGCAGTCAGCCATTACATATGAATGACACTTAACAGCTGTGCTCAAAGCCTAACCCACAGGTGCAGATTAATCTCCACATGTTACCGATTATGTTTAACATTTTCACTGGTTTGTCTCTCTCTATCTCTCTCTCTATCACTTTGGTGTCTCTCTCTCTCTCTCTCTGGTGTGTGTCTCTCTCTCTGTCTCTCTCTATCTCTCTCTGGTGTCCCTCTTTATCTCTCTGCCTATATCCCATGCCTGCACACTTTCCGTGTGGGTTCAGGGACTCCATTTTGGAGAGCAAAGAGTACAGCCATTGCCCTTCCTAACAAGCATGTCATATGAGGCGACTGATTAGGAGTGCTTCCTTCAGAGTCTGGGTGCATCTGTCTGAGAGCCAGGAAACCAACAGCTTGCATACATGTAAGTCAGGTCTGTAAAATAGATGTGTCCACTAAAGTTCTTGATCAAGACCACAGTCCAGGAGTGGACGAACAACCAGATTTTTCCAACGTAGTTTACCGCTAGTGAACGCTAAAAAGAAGATTCATGCGCACATAAATACTTGCATGCATACACACACATTCATCCTGACCTCTTTTAAAGACATCCACATAAAATCTAAGAGTTTATATAGTACACTGGCTAGAGGCTTGCCTGCTGACGTGAAAACCTCATTTTGAATCCACATTGACCCCGTGTGGGTTCCGGGACTCCATTGTGGGGAAAATAAGAATAAACCCACTACCTCTTAACAAGCATGTCATAGAAGTCGACTGATTAGGGACTTCCTTCGAAGTCAGAGTACATCTACATGAGTGGCAAGGTACAACTGCACACAAATAAGTCAGTAAAACAGATGTACATGCAAAACTCAGGTCCTTGAACAACCAGGACTTTCCACTGGAGCTATCAGCCGGTGAACAAAGAAGAAGAAGAATCCACATTGGTGCCAGATTTAAAAAAATAAAATGATCTGCCTCCAGTCTGGCTGCTTAAAATCATTACAGGAAAATGTCATGAGAAGGAAAGGTGGCAAGTGTGAGGTTGACCACATCGTCCATCAAATGCTGAGTTATCTACACAATTGTTGTGTTTGGGCCCCATATGCTCATTGCATCACTAGCAAGAAATGTGTCCATTAATGTTTTTATAAAAAAAAACTTAGTAACATAAGCAAGGCAGTTTTTACCATAATCGAGGACTCTCAGTTTAAACTTCATAGCAGAAGGGGATCCCATAGTTGCTCAGTTCCGGTGCCAGCGAAAACCACACAGAATGTCCATCATTGTCCCGTGTTTAAAAAAAAAAAAAAAGATTAAGACAGACTGCAGTCTTAGTAAATCCAATAGCATAAATTTTTTAAATTCAATGTGTAAGGCTGCAGTCAGAAGTCACAACACAAACAGATGCAGTTCACATCATTGGAAGCAGCGGTTACAACAGATCAGTAGTTGCACATGTAGTTAATCGTGTAAGGCACCACAGTTTCTTTAGCAACAGGTCACTGAATCTGCAGAATTATGTCTAGTTAGTTGTGTATCCTTTAAAGGACATTCCACAACCACTCCCGGGATTTGTTGGCTGTTTTTGGTTTTAGTAGGCAATTCTTACATCTTTGCCATTTATTTACCAAATGGTTGATGTTGACACCATTGTTGAAATCAATGCAAGCAGTCTGATGCCAAATCGCTTGCAGATGAATAGAGCCAGGAATATCGGTATTATTAATGTTTATGTTCCCTAAGCCAAAAATGCTGACATGAAATGACATATTGTTTCCCCCCTCCATTTCAGTGATCTCGAATCAGACTCTAATAGTTTGCCTAGCTCGTCTGCAGATTTTTCATCGGGGGAGTTTTATTTGTCTGTTTCAAAGACAAATGAAAAACGGAGTAAGTAAGACATTTACATTTGTGTTTTATGTGCTGATTTATAATTACTTTAACTATCCTCCCAAGCAGAAATAAATTTTATTTTTTTATACTTTATATGTAGTCTAAAATGTATTATTTTGTACCATAATATGTAAGCAAAATTAGGTACTTGTATGCTATATCTGTAAAATAAATTGTACTCTTTTATACTACGTGTTTTAATTATGGATATTGTTTGACACTTTCAGTGAGAAGCATTCCCGTAGATGTTCCAACTAAAGAAATGTTGTCAGACTGCAGCACAGATGATGATAGCGGATTAGCTTCTTGTAAGTATGTTCATTACCTTCTGGTACTGACTTGTTGACCTCTGAACCCTACTGACAATACTGGGTTACAGTGTATGTGAAATACTTCAGTGTCATATGCAAAACAAACTGCACATATCTACATCACTATAATCATTATTATCATTATCATCATCATTCTTATCATCTATTTGTATGTCACACAGAGTTCACAGTTTATTTTCTGTTCTATTCTGCCCTGTGTAGTTGTTTTAGTATCATGGATGAAATCCAGACCAGCACCTTTGGCCTCTCTATTCAGTGTTTATCTTAGGGTTTCTTTTAGGCATCCTCGTTTCTTTAATCCACTTGTTCCTCATTTCAATTTATTAGCATTAGTCACCTCTTGTTTTAGGTTTTGATATTACTGTTCTTTGCTTCCACCACAGACCACATGGCTTTTTAAAGCATTTAATGTTTTTGAATGTGGAGAATTGTAAGATGTAGCTGTTTGTAAAAGACTTTTTTTTTAAATTTTGCGAACAGTTACATCAAGTGGCAGTTTAAGAGCGTCTGTTCCATCCCCAAGTAACAACAGCTTGAGCAGTTACAGCAGCCTTCACCGCAGGTGGATGAGAGCTCAGACAACATCCCTGGATGGGCACCACAGAAAGGAGAGCAGTCTGGTGTCTGAGGTAGTACATGTGATGTTGTGTGCCTATATAATCAAAGGGCAGAAGGAATTAAAGTTATACATGGGCTGCCATTAATTGTCTAGAGCTAAAGTGGGTTAAAATATTTGGGTTTTGGTCTGCTGTGTTTCTAGCCTTGGTAGTGTAGTGGCCATATAATTGTTTGCCTGTCCAAAGGTCAAGAGTTCAAATCCACATTGAGGCAGATTTAAAAAAAAAAAAACTTACCCTAGCTTACCCTAGCTTCAAGGTCGACCCTGCCTATAATGGGTACCGGGTATTTTCCTGGAAAGTTGACATTATGCTGTCTACATCACCCTTCAAGGGCTAACTGGTCTATAAAACTGAGTCTGGCCTCATATATCTGATGCGATATTGGTACAGAAAGGGTCCTTACTTACTTTTACCAAAGAGAGCTACAAAATAATCTATAATTGTTTATTTTCTGCTTTAGGTAGGTGTTTAGTTACTTAGGTGTTTAAAAGACCAGTCATCCTCATCATACATTGGCCATGGTTCGGTTTTTCATGTAAGGCAGTTCAGTCTTGGCCAAAAGTTATTAAAAGTGAAAGATCCATTGTCAGAAGAAGTTTGAGTAATACATTGGCTAAAGAGTTAAATAACTGGGTTAGAAAATATTTATGTTAACTCACCGTGTTTATATTTTAATTAGCTGTAATTTTATTCTTATGTCTTTTTATTTGTTTTAGAGTGCATTGACAAGACCACACAGAAACAAACTAGCAGTTGGCATTCTGTTTGGTTCTAGCGATGAGAAAGATGAAGAAAGCAATGAGTAAGTTATTTCAAAATGCATCTGTGTTTGGGAAACAATTTCATAATTTTAGAGTGCATTGACAAGACCACGCAGAAACAAACTGGCTGTTGGCATTCTGTTTGGTTCCAGCGATGAGAAAGATGAAGAAAGCAATGAGTATGTTATATCAAAATACATCTGTGTTTGGGAAACAATTTCATAAGTGGTTGCAGGTGGTGAAGATCATATGAATATTTTGCATGGATCATGCAAATGTTTTTGGGAATGAGCAACCGGATAGGTTGGCTGGATTTGGCCTTCTTGGGGTATACTGCAACTGCACAAGGCAGAAGTGATCTTTTGCCTTTCGAAAGATGTGACAAGTAAAATAGAAAATATGGAACATCCGTACTGGATAGAATGAAAGACGCTTCACCGACTGTTGAGGCAGGAGAAAGAGCTAATTTGGACTTGTCCTGAATGCTGTAAACCCATATTTGAATTTTTTTTTTTTGACCAGTGGTCTGAGAAACTACATCATTGGTTATTATAGATGTCTGTTAAACATATACATCATTGCTTGACCACAGTTAATGTAATTATTTATTGTTTTTTTTCATTATTTTGAAACATTGTTTTCATCCATTTAGGTTGTTCCAGAGCTTTTTCTTCTCACATTTTGCTTTGATTGAAGGCCATGTGGAAAAGTTGAGGTCGGTTGTGGAGAAAGCTTATTTTAATGCAAGGAATTTTTTGCCTGCAATTATGGAGGTAATTACATTGCTGCAATAATTTGCACTTTGTTTCTTTACTTCTTGTTTTCCTCAGTGTATTTAGTGAATCTGGAATACTATTTGCTGCAAGCACCAGACAGTGCAGTGGTATAGTTGTTAGTGTGCTTGCCTGCCAAGAAGTGATCCATGTTGCAGCTCTAGCATTTTTAGGCTGTTTGTTTGATTTCACTAACAATTTTACATTCAGTAGTTTGTCATTGGTTTTTGAACGGTTGGCTGCCAATACCACTCTCAAAACCAGCATAAGGCAGTCTGCTGCCAAATCACCCACAGCTGGTAATGGAGCCAGCACCACGCAATTACAACTTATGTTCACAGTGCCTAAGCCACAGATGCCTAGGTGGGGCGAGGTTTAAAAACAAAAGACCAAATTCAGTGCTCATTGTTAATTATGGAATTGTCTTAATTTCGTATCAGCTGTACTCAAAAATGCTTCTACTTATCTCCTTTTAATGTACTTTAGTGTATTTATGGTTAAGACTCCTTCTGTATTGATTGATGTAGTCACTGAAATCTCTTCGCATGAATTTCATGTCATACTGCTCAGTTGGAAGAAATTTGAAACCTCATGTGTGAGATTTTAGCATGTGTTGTCTTTCATATAGCATAAATTCTGTCCTTTCTGTCCATTTCCTAGGGTGGCACTGCTTGAAAGGGCATTCGCATATTTGATATGTGGTTAAAAACATTTTTATTTTTAAATGAAACAAAGCTTCTTATGTCACTGAAACAGTAGCCATATGGTGCTAGACTAATATTTTTTTTTATAGACCTACTGACACCCGATGGGTGATGTGGTAACATCATGCTGGCCTCCTTTACTTCCCATAATTTTACCTCATACCCATTCCAGGCTGGATTAGCCTGGAAGCCATGGTCATTTAAAAAAAAAAATGAAAATTAAACCCACAACCTTTCCTGATGAAGGCTATGTCCCACTGAAGCTACCTACTGGGTATATGGTACTAACCTCATATATTTTTTTTTTTTTACAAACCAAACTGCACTTGATGGATCATGTAGTCATGTTAGCCAGTTTGCTAAGAAAGCTGGCCCTCTTATTATTAAAGGTCTGACATGAACCACATAGTCGCTGTGCTGTAGAGGCTAGATGCTTACCTGCAGATCAGAAGGTCTAGGGTTCGTGGTCTTGACGGAACCGAACTTTTTTCAAAATAAACCTTTGCTCCCAGATCAACCCAGCCTCGGGTGGGAAACGTGCTGTGGTGGGATGTAAAGGTGCTAACCAAAATAACCACCAAGTGCCGATTGGTCTTTATAATGTAGGTCTAGCCCTATATGCCCAATACACCTAAAGTGGAAAAGGATCTTTACTGTTTATGGGCCCCATATTTTTTAAATTGTCATACTGGAGAACTGGTGGTAATTTTCATTTCCCTGCCTGATCCGGACTTTATGTTACTTTTTAACCATTGGGGCTCCTAGTATGACCTTATGTTTGACAGATCTTTTCTTTTTTGTTACCTTTTAACCATTGGGGCTCCTAGTATGACCTTATGTTTGACAGATCTTTTCTTTTTTGTTACTTTTTAACCATTGGGGCTCCTAGTATGACCTTATGTTTTGACAGATCTTTTCTTTTTTATGTTACTTTTTAACCATTGGGGCTCCCAGTATGACCTTATGTTTGACAGATCTTTTCTTTTTTATGTTACTTTTCAACCATTGGGGCTCCCAGTATGACCTTATGTTTGATAGATCTTTTCTTTTTTATGTTACTTTTTAACCATTGGGGCTCCCAGTATGACCTTATGTTTGACAGATCTTTTCTTTTTTATGTTACTTTTTAACCATTGGGGCTCCCAGTATGACCTTATGTTTGATAGATCTTTTCATGTGTACGGCCTGTGTTGGTAGTTGTTCTGGCTGAATTCTAACAAGATGACTAAACTATTTGATCTTCTGTTTCAGTTTATAGATATTAGGATCACATACAGAATTGCATTCTTAAGATATATATATATATATATATATATATATATATATATATATATATATATATATATATATATATATATATATATATATAATATATATATATATATAAATCTGTGTGTGTGCGTACGTGCTAGAGAGAGGGTGCACTGTGTGCACTGTTAAAATATTATCATTTGGTATGGTTTAAGGCAAATGATTACATGAGATTTTCCTCTTTTTCAGGCATTACAAGTTTTCCGTAATGATATTTTTGACCTTTTTATGGCCCCTCGTCTGCCGGAGCCGGTATGGTTGACCATGATGTCCACCACATCATACAAGACAAAACTGTGTGAGAAGTTTATGGAGACTTTTGTCTCATTGGTCACCAAGTATGATAATAAAAACTGTAAATTGTAAGTTTCCACTCACTGTTCGTGTGGTTCAAATTGTTGTGTGTAATTTTCATTTAAAAATCCTTGTGTTTTTTAAACCTTACTCATTCCTGTTGTAATTGTATTTTGTTTTGCGTCAAACATTTATTTTTATTTTCATCTAGCATAGTAATATTTTTAGTTCTCAGATATATGTGATTTTAATCTAGTATAGTGACATTTATTTTAAGTTTGTGTAGTGACATTTCTGATTAGAATCCACTAAAACATTTATTTTTTTAAATCACTTAAACATGCCATTATTAATGTTATATAGTGACTTTTCTTATTTTAAGTTGGTGCAGTGACATTTTTTTATTTTAATCTGCTGAGCAATCTATTATTTTAATCACTTAAACATGCCATTATTAATGTTATATAATGACATTTCTTATTTTATGTTGGTGCAGTGACATTTCTTATTTTAATTCACTGAACAATCTATTATTTTAATCACTTAAACATGCCATTATTAATGTTATATAGTGACATTTCTTATTTTAAGTTGGTGCAGTGACATTTCTTATTTTAATCCGCTGAACAATCTATTATTTTAATCACTTAAACATGCCATTATTAATGTTATATAGTGACATTTCTTATTTTAAGTTGGTGCAGTGACATTTTTTATTTTAATCCGCTGAGCAATCTATTATTTTAATCACTTAAACATGCCATTATTAATGTTATATAGTGACATTTCTTATTTTATGTTGGTGCAGTGACATTTCTTATTTTTAATTCACTGAACAATCTATTATTTTAATCACTTAAACATGCCATTATTAATGTTATATAGTGACATTTCTTATTTTAAGTTGGTGCAGTGACATTTCTTATTTTAATCCGCTGAACAATCTATTATTTTAATCACATAAACATGCCCTGTTAATCTAATATTGTAATATTTGCTATTTTAATCCACTCGGGCATCTGTTTATTTATTCTAGTATAGTGGTATTCATTATTTTAATCCAGTCAAATGTTTGTTGTTCTAATCTAGTATGGTGCCATTTGTTATTTTAATCCGCCCAGACATCTGTTATTGTAATCTATAATAGTGACATGAGTTATTGTCATCCACCTATACATCCGTTTATGTACTTGGGTACCCTGATATCAGCAGGTGAAAGCTGTATTAAGAAAGTTAAACCTCATGGAAAGGCGATATTTCTTTTTTTGTTTTTTAAATATATATCAGTTAAGATGAAGAAAAGAGTTCTTAAACGCTATATAAAGCCAGTCCTGGCATATGGAAGTGAAACTTGGAAAGTTACCTGTTAGTGAGAAATTATGTGGAAGCAACAAAGGTGTCATTTTATAAACGAATGATGGGAACACATGGACAGATTTTATTTTAAAAACAATTTTTTTTATTTTTAGAAACACAAGTAATTGAGATGTCTTGAAAGTATTAACCCAGGGAGGGAACTGATTACCCACATCAGAAGGAGACAATCTAGAGTCTTTGATCACATCATAAGAAAGATAAAAACGGGAGTGTGTCGTGACATGAGCAAGTTAGAGTAGAAAATTGCGGAGGGAGACAGAGAAAATGCTAGATAATTTGAAATCATGGTTTAAAAGATATCTGTGTCGGACATGATTGAATGTACACACATCAGAAGGCTGTGAATAGACGTGACATCCAACATCGCTTGGTAGGGACTTTAAGAAGAAAAAACATCTTGTATTTTTATCTAGTGTAATGATATTTGTTTAAATCCGCTCAAACCTTGGTTGTTTTAGTCTAGTAAAGCAACATTTGTTTTTAACACTTTAAATCTTATGTATGAAATGTGTTTTTTTAATCTAGTAAAGTGACAATTTTTATTTTTATCTAGTGTAGTAACATTTGTTATTTTAATCTATTATGTGACATTTCGTATTTTAATCTGGTATCGTGACATTTTTTATTTTAATCTAGTGTAGTGAGATTTGTAAATCACTGGTGTTGTCTGTTTTCTTATACAGTTGTGAGAGTTACTCTCACTGTGGAAACGGAAAGGAGGATTCGGGTTTTTCAAATGTAAATGCTACAGACACATTTTACGAATTAGTTATTTAGAACATAAAACTAATACTTACTTAGACAAGCACACAGCCAAATGGGTATGCAAACTTTATTGTTTATATATTTACTTACTTAGTCAGTCCTCTTCTATTCTGGGGTGTAGAGGTCTGTCAGAGAGATCACCAGACTTCTCTGTCAGCAGTTTTCTCTTGGCTTTGTTCTCTTCCAATCCTCTTTCAGGCAGGCACTTATCGGATGTTGTCTTCCCAGCGAACCCTAGGTTGTCCTTGTGGTCTTGTTCCCTGGTTTTCGGCCTCCCATGTCTGCTGTGGTAGCTGATTCTCCTCCATTCTGCATGCCACCATACTGAGGTATTGACAGCTGTAGGTGTTGCAGAATCACCAATGGAAAAAAAATAATCTTCTTAGCGTTCACCAGCTGTAAACTCTTGCAAAATGTTGTGCTTGTTCGTCCACTTTTGGACATTGTTTTTGTTCCAGAAACTTGAGTTTTGTGCTGATATTCATTTCTCTGCTCTGGCTTATTTTAATGCAGACTGTTGATTCCTTGCCTCTCAGGCAGGTGCACTTCGAAGGAAACATCCCTTATTAGCTGCCTTGTACAACATGCCTGTTGTTGGGAGAAGGGGGGGGGGGGGGGGGGAGGTTCTTTTTTTCGCCTTTACCGGCTGTAAGCTCCAATAAAAATGTTTTGGCTGTCCTTCCACTTCTGAACTTTAGTCTGGTTCCAGAACCTGAGTGTTGCGCGCACAATCATTTTACAGATCTGGCTTATGTGCAATCTGTTGGTTTTTTGCCTCTCAGGCAGATACACTCTGACTTCGATGGCAGCTCCCATTTACTCAACTCTTATGACATGCTTGTTGGAGAGGCAGTGGATCTATTCCTGTTTTCCCCACAGTAAGGCCCTGGCAGCCACCGGGGATAAGGGTTAGTGAGTCTGTTCTTTTTCCCCCCAAAATAGGGCTATGGAACGCACACGAGTATGGAAATGATAAAATGCCAGTTGGTTTATACAAAATATGAGCCTAGCTTAATATACCCTGAGAAGAACTTTGTAGCAGCAGATGTGATAGTTCTTTCTGTATTGCACATGTTAGAATCTCTAGAGTTTTTCAGTCTTTTCCTGTTGGGATACACCTTTTAGTCGAACATAATTTCTCGACATATTACATAATTTTGCTGCAGTAATTCTATCTACTAGTCACTAAATAATGAATGAGTAATAGACTTTGACATACTATTTAACAGTTAAAGCCAGTAGCTGATATAAAGAACAAAGTTAAAAATTTAAACACAGCAAGCAATTGCTGTAAAACATGATAATGCTGTGCTGTGTGCAGTCACATATTATAACTGTGTACAGCGGTGCTTAGTCGGCTCTGTGGCTAAGCCGATGCGAACGCTTCGCTTCGTAATGCCAGGATGCCAGGTTCGATCCCAACTGCGGGCAATGCGCCTTGCGTTGGTTTCGACAGTGGTATCAAGAAAGCCGACTGTCCAGAAAGCAGTGGCAAACTACTGGATGTAAAGTGCCTATAGAAACCACACAACAGCCAGGGGCTGTTAGGGTTGGTTCTGCAACGTCCTGTAAAGGATACGCAACTAACTTTACCAGGTCAACCCAGCCTTGAGTGGGTACCAGATTCAGTCGTGGGAAGTAAAGATGGCTGACCACATCACCCACCAAGCGTCGATTGATCTATAAAATATAGGTCTAGCCCTATGTGCCCAATACTCCTAAAGGCGTGGAAAAGGGTCCTTTACTTGTTATTTTACAGCGGTGCTGATGGCGCAGCATTGCACGCTGATTATTCTGTTTAATGCTTTACACTCACACAGCACACCTGTATTCAGCTAGCAGTGCACCAATGTGTCATGACATGCAGTTTAGAATGCTCTGATGAAGAGAGATAACCTTCTACATTTGTTGATGATCATTTCTGTATTTTCAACTCCAGGTTGATGCTTTAGCCAAAACTCATCCATACAATCCTCTCTGGGCTCAGCTTGGGTGAGTACAACAGAGTAAATAGCATTCTTTTATAACAAGGAGGTTTTTAAAAAATAATCTAATATCATCCCCTTGCTGCTACTTTATGGTATGGTGGTCCTTTTGAGATTGTATAAAACATATGGTTTTTATTTAGGTTCGAATTAAAAACTTGTATTCAGTGTCAGTGAAGTAATTCTGAGTAAAGGTGATTTAATAGTTTACTTAATGTCTTTTGTATTGTCAGTTAGAAGATAGCCAAATGTTTTGACATTTATCCTGATACCTGAGAAATCGCTGCACATGGCCATTTATCTAGCTACTTACCTCTTCATCAAGGAAAGGTAGCAGGTGAGGAATCCAGAACAACTGCAGCAGTTTGACACAGACAAATCATAAAAGAGACACGAACCTAATCCCCCAAATAATTGCAGCCAAAATTCCCCACTGATGCAACCCAAGAACATTTTTTGTCAAGTTGGCATTATCACCATTCTTCTTCTTATAGTCCGTGCCTTGTTGCATTGGTAATCATGTCTATCCACAACCTTCTGTCTTGTGTATTTTTGAATCAGTGCTGACAAAGATGATCTTACATGCCATGATGTCAAACTGTGGAATATCTTCTCTCTCGGTGTCTTACTGCATTTTCCGCCTTCAACATTTCCTCACGACATGACTAAAGAATATATAAAGTCTTCTACTGATGTGGGCAATCAGTTTTTTTAAAAAAGGAAACAAACTTTTTCATGCCACTGGAACATTAGCCATGTGGTGTTAGACTAATATTTTTATAGAACTATTGGCACTCGATAGGTGGTGTCTTTATTACTACTTTTTATCTGTCCAGGGTATTCTCATATTTCGTGTATAAAACCTTATCTCTGCTGCTTCAAATAATTTTTCACTAATTTTCCACCTATTCAGCCATCGACACACCCATAAATGCCATTCTCCTACTGGTGGAGAACAAGCGCAACAGAAAAGCCATCTAATATGTTAATAAAAACTTTGCAACTAATATCCAGTTTCATTAAATTATTTCTATTGCTTTTTATGTAATCTTAATTTTTTATTGTTTTGTTTTGAAACCAGGGATTTGTATGGAGCCATCGGTCTTCCACTCAAGATTTCACGTACAGTTGTGGTTGGCAAGAAGGCAGATGTTGTCAAGCGTTTCCTCTACATTCTTAGCTACTTCATCCGGTGCAGCGAAGTGCAGGAAAACTCTGACCCCCAGTGCCTCAGCAATATTGTCAACGACACTCACTTCGATTCGTCATTGTCGCCAACACTCAGTGAAAAGACACTCATCGATATGCTGGAGCGAAGCACAAGTCCCATTGGCAGTAGTGCATTTATGATTAGACAAAACAGTAACGGCAGTAGTGGCAGCGGGGGCCTGCTGAGCCAAAAGTTGAGCAGTATGGACAGCCCCTGGGTACACTCGCGCCATAAATTGGATGTGCCTTTTGAAGAATCTGGCGACAATAATTTGTCTAAGGTGGTTCATAACCAGCCACAAGTGGTGCATAGTTCTAGCCCTAGCAAAGCACATACGTCCTGCTGCTTAGAGAGAAGTGACAGTGGGTATAATGGTGCCAATTTTGAGTGTAGCTGTGAACAAGAACCCAGACCATTGACTTCTATATGTGCTGATAATAGGGATTTAGTTGGAAAAACTTCTTCAGAGATAAATCGGTGCGTCAAAGTGCTTTCTAGTGCTAAAAATGTGTTTTATGATCATGAATATCAACCTCATTTGAACCATGTAAGTAGTGATTTGGTTATTTTACCATCCAGACCTCGTAGTAATTATGAACCTGGGGATGTCATGATAAAAGATATTTCTCCGGTGAAATCTACAACCCAGACAGTGTCTTCCAACTCTTCTGCTGGTGAGCCTATGGGTATGAGTGAACTGCTTAATTATGAACCAGGCCACTTTCCTCCTGTGTCTTGTATTGATTCATCCAAGATTGTCGAATCTCCTCGTATTGAGCGTTTGATGCTGGCTTCAAAAGCAGCAGCTCCTTCAAGGTTTGATATGCCAGACTGTGTTAAAGTGCCAGTTGAACCTGTGTCTAGGTCACACTCGTTTTCAGAAGGAAAGGTCAGGTCAAGGCTGACTCAGCAGTTGGATAAAGGCCTAGATGTTTTTGATGATATAGAAAACAAAATGGTGGCCTCATCTGCTGGATCACCATCTCCATGGTTGTCGGGAGAAAGTAGGAAGGAAGCAGATTCCAGCAAATTGTTCCTATCCAGACAAACCAGCCAAGATTCTAAATTACAGCAAGGGAGGCCATCTAATCTTGGCAAAAGCAGGTAATCTATGACACCATAGGAACTTTTTAAAACCTCAACTTTAAAAAAATTATACAAATGTGAACTTAATAAACTTAATAAGTGTTAAGAACTTTATGTGTGTGTTGATGTGTAACGGCTAGACGCACACGTGCAGATCCAAAGGTTTTGGGTTCACTCCCTGGCTAAGCCAGACTTTTTTAAAAATGACCTTGACTTCTAGGTCGACCCAGCCTTGAGTGGGTACCGGGTGCAGTCCCAGGAAGTACAGGCAGCCGGCGTGATGCTGAACACACTACCCATCCTTTGCGGATTGGTCTCTAAAAATATAGGTCTAGCCCTATATGCCTAAAGGCGTGGAAAAGGGACCATTACTTACTTACTTACTTTACTATGTGTTAATTAATTAGTCTTTTTCACAGTAGCTTAATTCTTCTTCTTTTTCTTTTTGGTTTTCAGTAGCTGTAAACTCAAGCAGAAGTTTCTTCCACTCCTGGACTTTGGTCTTGATCCAAAATTTGAGTTTTGCGTGCACATCCGTTTTACAGATCTGGCTTATTTGTATTCTGACTCTTTTTTCCTTGCCTCTCAGGTAGATGTACTTCGACTTTAAAGGAAACACCCTTGATTAGTCGCCTCCTATGCCTTTCTCCACCAGGGGAGTTGTAGCTTAATGATGGTGATGATAAAATAGAATGATGTAGTTTGAATTGTACGTTTCCATTGTCTTCAGGCCCATCACCCCCACAGAGCTGAGTAGGCGGCGCCACCTGTCCTCCACAGGCAGCATTGACTATGAAGCATTTGATCCTATGATTCACTGCAAAGAGATCAAAATACCAAAGTAAGTGTGCAGTTTGTCTTGTGAATTCAGATGCCTGAACACCAATGTTCTTCAACCTTTAGGCATGGAGGGAACATAGATATCTGGTGTCCATTGATGAGGACACAGGGTGTGTATTGCGCGGCAGTGATATACCTCATCTTTTTTTTCTATTAGCATTCACTGGCTGTAAACTTTGATAGAAGGTTTTGAATGTTTGACCATTTCTGGACCTTTGTCTTATTCCAGGACCTGGGTTTCTACAGCTCTGGCTTATTTGTGTGCAGACTGTTGGTTCCTCGCCCTGAGGCACTGGAAAGGTCACGGGTAGTGAGCATACTTTAGATCTTTTCTCCAGGCGGTGGTGGGGAATGAACAGGTAGATAAATTGGCTTGATCTGCACCACTGGGTGGTGAATTGATACATGACAAGGCAGATGTGATCAATGCCCTTTGGAAACAAGCAACGAAGTCAGAAGAGAAACAAGATTATTATGGCCTGAAGAGAATGAGGCACCTGAGTGTCACCACAGGGTCTGGTCGGCTCACTACATTCAGAGGAAAGGCACTACAGACATCTGACCAGATTACGGCCGGCACCATTAGTATTGGAATTCTGCGCGTGCTGTTGAAGATGAGGACAGAGAACACATGGGAAAGCCTTGATTGAAATAATGTCAATTTTTGACTCAACAGTAAATTTCTAAGTTGCCTCTGTCCCATTCTTCTGTAACATTAATCCAGTTTGATTCCATTTTCTACTTTTATTCCTTACCATGAATGTATTACTTTATTTCACTGAGATCCGGGAAGGCTAAAACCTGGTAAACATATGCCTGTAGAAGTTGGACATGTTGGTTGCAAGGTGCAAATATCACAGCAATGCTGTAAAAAGGCACAGTGCAGTTACATCTTTAGATGAACGCAGGAGAAGAAGAAGAAGAAGATATTATTAAGATTTTTAAATTGTTACTTTAAAGTACAAAAGCTTCCTATTTGGGTTCTGGGGCTCTTGGAAGGGGACGGGAGGTTAACTACTTTCTAACAGGCATGCAGTAAATGGCGATTGATGAAGAGTTTGCTGAAATCAGATGTGTTAGGCAAAATAGGTGTTAATATTTCAGCCTGGCTGTTAACGCATCACAATGTGCAGCAAGAAGATCAAGAAGGTGAAGAAGAAGAAACACTACATAAACTTTGGATGAGAGCATGCTTAACTATCAGCCATGCAGGTTATTCTGGGATGTACAAGAGATACTTCGGTAGTATGTATGCGATATATACTTGCACTGCCTACTATTGCAGATAGGCTCGTTGTTCTGCAAACAAAGTCATATCCCAGAGTAGCTGCAGACAAGAAGCACCTCCTGCCTGATGCTCTGGGTAGAGCTGAGGGTCACAGACTGATAAGAGGAAGTTCTTGGATGGCGCAAGCTGAAGACACAATCAGACTTGTATGCAGGCTTCATAAATTTGTGCGAGTTGAGGAGTGGGTCAAAGTGTCCAAGCTAGTGTTAGACTTGTGTAAAGTTCTTATCACTTTGGGTTGTGAGTGCAGGGACAGACACCAGCTGGCGCTGCAGAATCTGAAGTTCAACAAATGATTCATGACAATTCCCACCTTAGTGATATGATTATCTATACAGTTAGCTCTCTGTTATGGGACAGACGAAGTGCATGGGAACTCATAGCAAAATTGAATGAACGTTGCTTAGTGCAGCAAAGCCTGGCATATGATATCACAACATCTAGTTTATGAATGGACGTAAAGACAGTCACTGCTGCATTCTGCTGGCTTGAGAATCAGCTGTACACACATGCTCTGATTGTAACTGACTCACAGAGCTTGTTAAGAAAGGTGGAGACTGGTATACTCCGTGCAGAGTGGCAAGCATCACTTTAGAGGTCCCGGGTAGTTAGCATCCTTTGGAAATTCTCTCCAGGTCATGCCGGTGTGTTGAGAAATGAGCAGGCAGATAGACTGGTCGGTTCTGCACCACTTGGTGGTGAACTGATGTATGAAAAGCTAGATGTTGTGAGGGCCTTCTGGCTGCGAGTGAACAGTGCAGAAACACAAATAGATCATTACAGTCTGAGGAGAATGGTGCTGCAGGAGTTACCATGGGATCTGGCCGATGCTCAAGGGAAAAGGTAGACGGATATACAGTCAGACAGTTACTGATACCATCGGAACTGGAACTCTTCATTTGCTGCTGAAGATGGGGACATGGGTGCTGTGATCTTGATTCAACATTCATTCCATCTGAGACTGCAGGTAATCCTGTTTGCTGTAATAATAAATACATTTCCATTGTTTCAGTTCGCTGACAGAGTCTGGGCAGTGGCATATCAAAGCATTTGACCGCAACTTTGGTCATTCGCTTCTTGCAGGCTACACTGACCACTACATGTCGGATTTTGTCCTGCATGGTACCTCAGATACAAACTTCAAACCTCGTTTGCTCAATGATCTTCAGATGGCAGTTAGAGTAAGTGGCCCAGTTTGCTTGCAGATGCTTTTCCTGCTTATTCATTTTTCTTTTAGGTGCCTTGTCTCTCAAACATATCTGCAGCATTCTTTGTTCTAAACGTTGTTGATGTTGCTTTTTTTTGTAATATTCAAGGCAGGCCAGGCGGGGAATCAAGCTGCGGGGGTAACACTTAGATAAACTGGTCTCTACCGCCCAGGTGTTCTGCTATATAGAAGAGAAACTTCATCCCCGGCCTTCAGGAGCCTTGGAAACAAAATCTTGAAAGTTGAACTTACCTTTGCCGTGGGTTTTGATTCTCATGGCCTCCCATAGCACACTATGACACTATCATTTGGAAAGACCAAAAGGTGCCAACAGACATGTCTCTCCAGTCCTTTTTGTCTTCTGATTGTCTTGATGGAGTTTACTTTTATTATTTATTGCCTAGCTGTTTCAATGTCCTTCATACTTACTTCTCCTGTCTTCCTCTGCCTCTCTTGCCTGGTGTGTTAGATCATTTTCTATATGCCCAAGTATTTTACATTGTAAATGATCAGCATCAGTCGGCAAGTCCTTCACAGAATGATTACTGCCACAGCATGCCTAAAAATCTCTCTTTCTATAGCCAGTTCTCTAGCCGTGTGTGCTAGTCAGTGCACCTTCTATGTCTTGTATCCACGTTGATGGAGGTCTGCCTCTGCTTCATTTTTCAGAAACTTTACCTTCTCTCCAAGCCACCACATGTAACATGGCCAGTATACCTCAGCTTTCTGGACTGGACGCTGTTTATGAGCTAATTGTAAATTATATTCTTGCATTTGTAAATTTTTATCAAAATCACATCAGTAGACAGTCTGCATTCTTTGATCATATCATGAGATGGAGAAAACTGGAATACATAATGACAGTAAGAGAAGGGGAGAGCAGGAGACAGAGAGAGAGAGAGAGAGAGGAAATGCCTGGCAGCTAGCTATCATGGCTATGAAGATCATCTGTGTCAAAAATAATTGAAAGTACAAAAGACAGATGGCTGTGGAAAAACATCACTGCAGTGCCAGACGGCATGGACTATAAGAAGTAGAAGATACCTGTAAATCCCCTTCCCCTCCGGCATTAGCCATCTCTTGACAGTCAAGTGCCTAAAACCTGTGAAGAAACATTACCAACCTAGGGACAGTGAAATACCTAAAACCTGTGGAGAAACATTACCAACCTAGGGACCGTGGAATACCTAAAATCTGTGAAGAAACATTACCAACCTAGGGACCGTGGAATACCTAAAACCTGTGGAGAAACATTACCAACCTAGAGACATTGGAATACCTAAGTCCTCTGAAGGAATATTACCAACCTAGGGACAGTGAAATACCTAAAACCTGTGGAGGAACATTACCAACCTAGGGACAGTGAAATACCTAAAACCTGTGGAGAAACATTACCAACCTAGGGACAGTGAAATACCTAAAACCTGTGGAGGAACATGACCAACCTAGGGACAGTGAAATACCTGAAACCTGTCGAGAAACATTACCAACCTAGAGACAGTGAAATACCTAAAACCTGTGGAGGAACATTACCAACCTAGGGACAGTAAAATACCTAAAACCTGTAGAGGAACATTACCAACATAGGGACAGTAAAATACCTAAAACCTGTGAAAGAACATTACCAACCTAGGGACAGTGAAATACCTAAAACCTGTGGAGGAACATTACCAACCTAAGGACAAAGAAATACCTAAAACCTGTGGAGGAACATTACCAACCTAGGGACAGTGAAATACCTAAAACCTGTGGAGGAACATTACCAACCTAGGGACAAAGAAATACCTAAAACCTGTGGAGGAACATTTACCAACCTAGGGACAAAGAAATACCTAAAACCTGTGGAGGAACATTTACCAACCTAGGGACAGTGAAATACCTAAAACCTGTGGAGGAACATTACCTACCTAGGGACAGAGAAATACCTAAAATTAGCGGATCAAGCATCACCCACCAAAGTCTGATCCCAGCCAGCCTGCGTGCTTTGTAAATCATGATAAATGTCAGCATTGCTGTTTTTTTACATAGGTCAGTGGTATCAGTTAACGAAGACATGTGGAGCCCTCTTATTGTCTGCCACAGACTCCATAGTTCTTTTTGATAGTTTTAATAGTCATACTGTAAAGTAGATAAAGTAAAGTACCTTTTTTGATGCCTTTAGGCACAAAGGGCATATAGGGTGAGACCTGTATTTTATAGATCATTTGGCACTTGATGAGTGATGTGGTCATCATCACGCCAGTCGTCCTTACTTCCCAGAACTTTTACCTGGTACCCACTCAAGGCTGGGTCAACCTGGGAGCCAAAGTAATAGTCATACAGAATTTATAATTTATAAATATTAGAATTGCTAAAATGATTGCATTTTAAAGTTAAGGTATTTTTGTGTGTATATATAAATGATATCGTCAACCTCTTAAATTTATTCCACAACTCCACAGTCCAGGGGAACACTGGCTGAGATGTTCTGAACATCAATGCATTGGACTTGAAAATGACTAACTTAAGTCTTCCAGAACATTCAGCCTATATCGGCCATGTCACTTGATTTAAAAATTGCTATAAACTTAATAATGTTACATTTAAACTTTCTGCCACTTTAAATTTTTTTACTTTCTCTGTGTTATTTTTTAAAAAGCCTGAACATCAATGCTCTGGATTTGATCACTAAAAGCTCAGTCTTCCAGAGCATTCAACCTGACCAGCCATGTCAGTTGATTTAAAAATTGCTGTCAAGTCCTCACTAATGTTACATTGAAATAATCCGCTATATTTTTTTAAAATCATTCTTTCTCTGCATTATTTGTTAAATAGCCACTTTGTCAGTTTCTTTACTTTGTATTTTTCAACAGCATTCCGTGTTGGATGAGCCAATTGATGAAGCTGTGTGTGTGATAGCGGACACAGATAGCTGGTAATTTGAGTTTTGTTACTATCAGTGTCATCATATTTTAATGTGGACTTCATTGTTTTCTGGAAATCCTGTAGATACAAAGCCACTAAACATTTCAAAATTATGCACATTTTTGCTTAGAGGACATTTCTGGGGTCTTCTCTCTGGCTCGTGGGTTTGTACTGACAGTGTGAGTTTTGCAATACAATATTTCCATATGGGTTCAGAAGACAGCTTTGTGGGAAAAAAAGAATAATCTTGCTGCTCCTTAACAATATTGTCATAAAAACCCACTAATTTTTCCGAAATTGGATGTGCTAACCTGAGTTGAGTCAGAAATTGACATCACAGCACACAGGGTACTTTCAATCACGCTCTGTTCCCATCCTCAGCAGCCAGCACAGAGTTTTGCTAGGCTGATAAGTGCAGATACTGCAGCTTAGCTTAGCTGCGGACCACAAAAACATGGGCCAGTCGCCATTTTGAGGACAAGTGCAGAAGAAGGACAGTTGGTATTTCACTCGAAGATATACATCTGCTGATATTAACTATAAGTAGCATGGTGATCTCAGTCACAGGTATAAGGCCACTGTGAAGGTACTCTGTACCTCACCTCGGATGTAAGCAGGTTCTGTGCTGGTTTTAGGGATCATCATGCAAGACTCCTGGATGAGGCACATGGAAATATATCAGCTAATTGTTGTGTTTGAAGTAGTTGCAGATGCAGATATTAGTCTCACAGGCTTACCAACCATTGCATAAAACTAGTCAACAACAAGATTTCATAGCAGTCAACAGTGAAATTTCAACATGGAAAGAAAAGCAGTTAGGTAGACAACTGGTTACTTCACCAATAGCTAATACTTCTAATATTTGTGATATCCTATAATATCACACCATGGGAAATATCTGCTATAGAATTAACTGTACCTTAAATAGGAAATGGTTGGCATCTCTGGCTTATGTGTTGCAAATGCAATTTGAAATTCTGAGATACTGGGTTTGATCCCAGCGGGCAGTTTGGCATCAGACCACCTTGCATTGTTTTTGACAATGGTATCGAGAGTTGACTGCTTAGAAAGCAATGACAAACTACTATACATAAAATTGCCTAGTAAAATCACTATTAGCCAAAATATGCTAGTATGTTTCTGCAATGTCCTGAAAAGGATGCACAACTAACAGAAAGTAAATGTTACTACTTTAAATGAATAAATATATATATATAAAATTCACATGCCTCCCCATATATAGCACAATTAAGCATTATCGTCTGGAAAAATGGAAAGATGTCAACAGGTGCCAACAAAAATGCAGATGGCTTACCACATATTTCCTCACCACCAGGATGAAACATGAATAATAATGGATAAAAAAAAAACCTGTGCAGGTTTCAGGTGATAATATTTATGTCCTCAGGACTGTGGAGGTAGCCAGTAGTAAAGTCCTGGGCATGTCACCATCTGGATGTACGACGTGGACATCTTCACAACTGGTTGCTGATTTGATTGAGTCTGTGGTTGAGATCTCTAAGCTGAAGATGAGTGCTGAGTTTGTAAGTAGACGCTCATTTTCTTGTTCTGTTTGACATGAAGTGCTGTTTTCTTGTGAAGAAAAACTGTCAAAAGGGGAAACTACTGACATATTAACACTGCCAGTTTTATCATGACATTTTTAAAAAATTGGAGTTAGGGAACCTTTTCCTTTCCAAGGAACATTTGGATCATATAATTATTCGCAAGCCTTACAAAATTATGAGCTTAGAAAGACAGCTTTCAGTGTGCTACCAGTGCCTGACAGGGCCCCTTACTACAGCTATTTGAGCAGAAGATCATAACAACAAAGATGAGATGTCTTAGGATAGCTGCCTGTGTGACAAGAAGAGATAACATCAAGAATGAAGAAATTTGAAGAAGATTAGGACTAAAACCAGTCATTTAGTTTATTAAAGAACAACAAATGAGATGGTTTGGCCACCTGAAGAGAATGCTGTGGTACCGAATGCCACAGATAGTAACGCTGGAAAAAAATATGAAAACAGAGCAAGAGGAAGACTATGCAAGATATGTAGCGACAACATCAGGAGCAACCTTACAGAAATTAACACCAACTTATACAATGCATTTGAAAAAGTGCACAAACCATCCATACATTTCCACCCTGCACCTCGCTGAGGTAAATGGGGGAAGAAAAGAAGAAGAAGAAAAAGACAGCTTACTGTTGTGGTTTTCAAAAATGTAATTGCGATTGCTTTGGCAGGGCTGGGCAAGCTCATATGATTTTGTGGGCATCTTACAGTAAAGATCCCTTTTCACGCCTTTAGGTGCATCGGGCATATGGGAAGAGCACCCATATTTTTACAGACCAATCGGCACTAGGTGGGTAATTTGGATTTGTAGCTTATTTAGGTAAAATTTGCTGATTTGCATTATCATATCATACATAGTGAGTCCTTGCTGAATGTCACTCTCATCATGGCCTGCTGGAAAGGTTCTTGATCATTTACCAGCTGTTTTATGCATTTTTGTTTCTGTGGCGACTGTCCGTAGGCCTGCTTTCTTTGACATTCAGATCTTCTCATCAGTGTTTTCCCTGATCCATGGTATTACAAGAATTTAACATTTAAGTTCAGAAGCCTCAATTTTTTTTTAAAGCTTCAATACTTTCTCTTTCACAACTACAGTTATACTGTGCTTTTAATTTTTTGGGGGTCAAGTTTTCAACTAAGAGGAGTTTAAACTAAATCTTTGGGAGCCTTACACTGACAACAGCTTTGGGAATCTTATATATTAACAGTGATTGAGAACATGGTGTTGAAATGATGTACAGTAAAACCTCATTAACACAATTCGATTAAGACAAATTTTAAGTTAACATAAATTCCCATCATGAATTTAATTCGATTGACAAATATTCCGTAACATATAATCCCAGCAGAAATTTATCACTGGCTAGCACAGATTGTTTTATCGCAAACTCTTGATTTTTTTAGTCCCATAGAAGTCTGTTAATGTGGTTTGACTGTATGTACTAGATGATGAACATTCTTGTGACTTCGCTGTGTCTTTGTGTAAGTTTATGTTTTTTTTTTACTGTAACTTTCTATAGTGCCTGATGCATGTGGAGGACCGGCTGTGTCTTTGTGTAAGTTTATGTTTTTTTTACTGTAACTTTCTATAGTGCCTGATGCATGTGGAGGACCGGCTGTGTCTTTGTGTAAGTTTATGTTTTTTTTTTACTGTAACTTTCTGTAGTGCCTGATGCATGTGGAGGACCGGCTGTGTCTTTGTGTAAGATTATGTTTTTTTTTTTACTGTAACTTTCTATAGTGCCTGATGCATGTGGAGGACCGGCTGTGTCTTTGTGTAAGTTTATGTTTTTTTTACTGTAACTTTCTATAGTGCCTGATGCATGTGGAGGACCGGCTGTGTCTTTGTGTAAGTTTATGTTTTTTTTACTGTAACTTTCTATAGTGCCTGATGCATGTGGAGGACCGGCTGCAAGAGATTTATTTTAAAAGCTTGATGTTATCTGAAAACCTTCGGGCTACTACCACATACAGCCAGCGAGAGCTTACTGCCATGCTTGGGTAAGTATCTGAACATACGTTGATATGTGTGTGTGCATGTGCTTTGGGGAGATGGAAAAAGGGGGAGGGGTTATGTTTGGTAATAGAGTATGTGTCTGTGATAATAGAATGTGAATATATGCATCTTTGGTATGTGTGTACGTGTCCTTGCTAATAGAATATGTGTTTATATGTATGTGATAATACAATATGTATAAATGCATCTTTGGTAATAGAATATGTGTGTATGTGTCTGTGATAATAGAATATGTGTGTGTCTTTGGTAATAGATCATGTGTGCACCTGTCATTGGTAATAGAACATGTGTGCACCTATCTTTGATAATAGAACATATGTATACCTGTCTTTGGTAATAGAACATGTGTGCACCTATCTTTGGTAATAGAACATGTGTGCAACTGTCTTTGGTAATAGAACATGTGTGCAACTGTCTTTGGTAACAGAGTGTGTGTGCCACTGTCTCTAGTAACAGAACATGTGTGCACCTGTCTTTGGTAACAGAATGTGTGTGCACCTGTCTTTGGTAGCAGAACATGTGTGCACCTGTCTTTGTTAACAGAACATGTGTGCATCTGTCTTTGGTAATAGAACTTGTGTATATCTATCTAAAGATAGATTTACCCCTGGTTGGAGACCACTACTTTACAGTTTGTTTCAGAACAAGCCCTAGTAGTTTATGATGTTTCAGAACCAACCCCAGTGTTTTAGGATGTTTGGTTCCCTCAAAGTCGGAGTACATCTGCCAGTGAGGCAGGGAATGGCAAAAGCCAGTAAAACAGCCAGTACACGCAACACTACAAATGGACAATCTACCGGGACCTTCTGCCGGAATTCACAGTCAGTTAACGAAAAAGAAGAAGAAGGATGTTTGGTTCAGGATGTTTCAGAACCAACCCCAGTGTTTTAGGATGTTTGGTTTTACTAGGAAATTTTACGCTCTGTAGTTTATCATTGTGTTCTAAACGGTCTGCCTTCCATACAGTTTTTGAAATCAGTATGAAGCATTCTGCTGCCAAATTGCCTGCAGGTGGACTTTTCTTCTTCTACTTTTTTTTTTAACTGTAAACTCCTGTGGAAAGTCCTGGTTGTTCGTGAATTTGGACTTTGGCTTTGTGCCAGGGTCTGAGTTTGGCATATTTATCCTTTTTTACTGGCTTATTTGGGTGCAGTTAGTTGTTCCTTGCCATTTGGGCAAATGCACTCCGACTTCGAAGGAAGCTCCTGGTTAGTCAACTCCTACAACATGCTTGTTGGAGAGGCAGTGGGCACATTCTCGTTTTCCCCACAATCGGGCCCCGGAACCCACACGAGGAACGTGCAAATGGAAAAAAACAACTGAGTGTTTCAGAATTAAAAAGTCTGTTTGCAATGCCTACGCTATAGACTCTGATATATTACACACATACTACCCTTCCTCTTGGGGTTCACTGGCTGTAAACTCTGACAAAAAGTTCTGGTTGTTCACCCACTTCTGGACTTCAGTCACGTTCCAGAACTTCAGTTTTACATGCATATTTATTTTACAGATCCAGCTTGTATTTATGCAGACTGTTGGTTCCTTGCCTCTCAGGCAGATGCACTCCAACTTTGAAGGAAAATACCTTTAATGAGTCAACTTTAATGATGTGCTATAGGGGCTTTTGAGCTGAAATGCTATAGAAAGATTCTCAGAAAATCTTGGACAAAGAAGAGGAGAAATATTGACATCTTAAAAGATCTGAGCATCAAGGAAGATTGACTAATAAACAGCATCCTTTCTTAGAAGCTGAAATATTTTGGTCATATCAAGCGCCACGACGGATTGGAAAAATTATAGCAGAAGGCATGGTACCAGAAAGGAGGGGCAGGGGTTGACCGACACGAAAATGGGCACAGGATATAAGTGACTCCTTGAGTATGAATGAAAGTACATGAGGCGGGAGAACTGGCGAGAGACTGAGTTTCTTTCAGGCAGACTGTGATGAGAGCAACGTTCTGATGATGAATGACATGATTTTTGGGGATAGGTCTATCCCCCCCCCCCCCCTCGCAGTGGAACCCCAGAACCCACCAGGAAATGTAATACCTAATAAATATGCAACATCTTTGAAAAGAGATCGTTTTGCTTTTTTTTCTTCTTTCTTTTAAACTATGTTCAAGCCCAGTGTTTGAGTGGCATAAACCATGTATGATCATAATTCAGTGACTGATTTCTGTCCCCAGGTTTGAGTCCAGTGACATGCCTTTGTTGTTGGCTATAGCCGGAACACTCACCCCAGTCAGCTGTATGGAAGCCAGCAATTAGCAGACCACAGTGCATTTTCAGCAGTCTTTGGTCATGTCATGAGAAGGAGAGAACTGGAGTAAATCATGATGATGGGAAAGTTGGAGAAAAAAAAGGCAGAGGGAGACTGGGAAAGAAGATGCCAAACTGTTTGACGTCATAGCAGGAAAGATCCTCTGTGTCACAACTGATCCTCAGAGGAATGCAGAAAAAATACTAATGTTACTAGCTAAGATTAGTGGCAGGGAAGACCAAGGGAGAAGATGATAGTGATGCCGTGGAGGGTCATTTATATCTGAAATGATTGCCAGTAATGAGACATTAGGCTATGGAAAGACATATTAAATGTCACATGGCAGGGACTTTGAGAAGATTAACTCTTTCATTCCTAAGCAGCTGCTACTTCATCCCCTCTTCTATCCCACGGAATTGGGCTTAAAAGCAGTGAACACTTTTGTCTGAAGAAGTTCACTTCAGACATTTTGGGACATTTAAACTAATTATTCAGATATGAGAGGTTAATATAACATCTGTCTGTGACAGAACACAGCAAGAGATTACAGTATCTTTGGAATGACTAAGCGACATCTGGCAAGCTGTTTGGCACTAAAAGAGTCAACATTTCATAGTCCTGGAATCCCTGTGTGGGTTACAAGGAGAACAAGAACAGACCCACTGCCTGCCCACAAGCAGGTCGTAAGAGTAGACTTATCGGGAGCTTCCTTCGAAGTCGGAGTGCATCTGCACGAGCGGCAAGGAACCAACAGTCTGCATATAAATGAGTCAGATCTGTCAAACGGATGCACACGCAACACTCAAGTTCAGGTACAGGACTGCAGTCCAGAAGTGGACGAACACCCAGAACTTTCTGCTAGAGTTTACAGCTGGTGAAAAGAAGAAGAAGAAGAACTGTTGCATACCAGTTAAATAATCATGTTTTTTCTTACTGTCCAATCATGATGACATCTCATTTTGCCCTGTTACACAGTGTTGTTGCTATGTTTAAATAAACATGCTCTAGCAACACATGCTGATTTATCCAGTCATATTGACATCTCAGGATGCACACTGATCTCTCCTGCTGCAGTCAGTTGTAGGGTTATAACTCTGTCAGTCACAACCAATGCCCTGTGTGAATGAATTTACCCCTCAATTGCTTTCAGTAGCAAAGTGTGCTCTTCTTACTTTCACCATTTGACCAGAACATAACAGAGAAATCTGGCTTCCTCCATTATTCACTACCACTACAGATATATAGATATGCCACTTTGAAAGTAAAGCATTCATAAATTTACTTCATGAATATTTGGTCACTTTCATATCTCATATGAAACCTTCTGCTAGTGACAGAGTTAATTAACTAAACATGTTATCCTCATCCTTTTCATCCATTTGATTTGTGCCATTTGTGCATCATATAGAGCTGACGGTTTATCTCTCCATTTGTGCCATTCATGCCTCACACAGAGCTGACAGTATATCCTTCCATTTGTTCAGCCCTGAGCGATATTATGGGTGGAATCCATCTGGCACCTTTGATCAGTGTTTGTCATAGCTTTTCTTTTTTATACCCTTATTTACTCAGCCCATTTGTTTCCCATTTCAGTTGCTGTTTAATCATGTTATAACGTCATAAATTACCCAGTCATGATGACATCCAAGGATGTATGTTGATTTATCTTACCACAACATGTTATGAGTTGTTAACATATTATAAGATACACACCATTTGCCAAATTATGATTGCTTCTCATGATGTATGTTTGATTGCCTCTGACACAGAATGTTACAAGTTGTTGAAATAAATGTGTGCAATTAATATTCTGAAAATAAATGTGCGTACAGTAGTGTTTGATAATATTTGCATGAGATTAAAGGTGTGAGATGATTGTATATAAATATTATGAAGTTAGCAGTTGAATGGAGATGCCACAGCAATGTTTAAAGAGAAAGTGACTGACTGTGTTATTTGTAGGAAAGTAATCTCTATTAATAAAATTTTAAAAACATTTTTTAAATGGAGTAGCATACTTGGACTTTTTTGGTTTAATGAAAAAGACTGAAAAAAATGGTAGTCTGGTGAGCCAGTTTTATCCTGATTCTTGAAAACAAACATGGAAGTGACATAGGGAATACCCAGTACCCTAAAAGGTAACATTGACTAATGAAGATCGAATATATTTGTCGCCATCCACTAAGTGCAAAAATATTTCCAAAAGTCATCTTTACTGATATGGTTTGTTAAAAACTGGTTGTTACCAACTGCTGATTTTGTTTGAAAATGTCCATAGTTAGTCTATAAGATTATCCATGTTTGTTTGAAAATGTCCATAGGTAGTCTATAAGATTATCCATGTTTGTTTGAAAATGTCCATAGGTAGTCTATAAGATTATCCATGTTTGTTTGAAAATGTCCATAGGTAGTCTGTAAGATTATCCATGTTTGTTTGAAAATGTCCATAGGTAGTCTATAAGATTATCCATGTTTGTTTTGAAAATGTCCATAGGTAGTCTGTAAGATTATCCATGTTTGTTTGAAAATGTCCATAGGTAGTCTATAAGATTATCCATGTTTGTTTGAAAATGTCCATAGGTAGTCTATAAGATTATCCATGTTTGTTTGAAAATGTCCATAGGTAGTCTATAAGATTATCCATGTTTGTTTGAAAATGTCCATAGGTAGTCTATAAGATTATCCATGTTTGTTTGAAAATGTCCATAGGTAGTCTGTAAGATTATCCATGTTTGTTTGAAAATGTCCATAGGTAGTCTATAAGATTATCCATGTTTGTTTGAAAATGTCCATAGGTAGTCTGTAAGATTATCCATGTTTGTTTGAAAATGTCCATAGGTAGTCTGTAAGATTATCCATGTTTGTTTGAAAATGTCCATAGGTAGTCTATAAGATTATCCATGTTTGTTTGAAAATGTCCATAGGTAGTCTGTAAGATTATCCATGTTTGTTTGAAAATGTCCATAGGTAGTCTGTAAGATTATCCATGTTTGTTTGAAAATGTCCATAGGTAGTCTATAAGATTATCCATGTTTGTTTGAAAATGTCCATAGGTAGTCTGTAAGATTATCCATGTTTGTTTGAAAATGTCCATAGGTAGTCTATAAGATTATCCATGTTTGTTTGAAAATGTCCATAGGTAGTCTATAAAGATTATCCATGTTTGTTTGAAAATGTCCATAGGTAGTCTATAAGATTATCCATGTTTGTTTGAAAATGTCCATAGGTAGTCTGTAAGATTATCCATGTTTGTTTGAAAATGTCCATAGGTAGTCTATAAGATTATCCATGTTTGTTTGAAAATGTCCATAGGTAGTCTGTAAGATTATCCATGTTTGTTTGAAAATGTCCATAGGTAGTCTATAAGATTATCCATGTTTGTTTGAAAATGTCCATAGGTAGTCTATAAGATTATCCATGTTTGTTTGAAAATGTCCATAGGTAGTCTATAAGATTATCCATGTTTGTTTGAAAATGTCCATAGGTAGTCTATAAGATTATCCATGTTTGTTTGAAAATGTCCATAGGTAGTCTATAAGATTATCCATGTTTGTTTGAAAATGTCCATAGGTAGTCTATAAGATTATCCATGTTTGTTTGAAAATGTCCATAGGTAGTCTGTAAGATTATCCATGTTTGTTTGAAAATGTCCATAGGTAGTCTATAAGATTATCCATGTTTTGTTTGAAAATGTCCATAGGTAGTCTATAAGATTATCCATGTTTGTTTGAAAATGTCCATAGGTAGTCTATAAGATTATCCATGTTTGTTTGAAAATGTCCATAGGTAGTCTGTAAGATTATCCATGTTTGTTTGAAAATGTCCATAGGTAGTCTGTAAGATTATCCATGTTTGTTTGAAAATGTCCATAGGTAGTCTATAAGATTATCCATGTTTGTTTGAAAATGTCCATAGGTAGTCTGAAAGTCTATATTAGTTAAATATTACCTTTCTTCCAAAAATGGCCTCCAAACGTAAAGCATGCCTTCTTCTTTTTCTTCTTCCGTATTCTGAACCCTTGAGGTTCATTGCTGCAGATATCACTCACCTCCATTCATCTCTCTGATTGGCCCTCTCTTTCCACTTGGTGACACCAAGTTTTTTTTAGGTATGTCTGGATATTATCTCTTCATCGTTGTCTTGGTCTGCCTCGTGGTCTTTGACCTTTTAGCTTCTTTGTATATACAGTTTATACCTTTCTGTCGTCTGACATACATTAAGCATGCCTCATACTCAAAATTTCTATCAATTTTCTGGTATTTAAATTGAAATAGCTTGCCCTGCCAATCTTTAGAAGAAAAGTTGTATTTCCAGTGCCATTGAAAATTAGTGCTTTATTTCAAATAGGATTCATATGGCAGCAAAACCTACCAGTTTAAAAAGAAAAGGTTGTTTGGTTACAGTATACAGCAGGCTTTATGACAAATATTACATATTTAGCATTTTTAGGGAGGTAAACTTACTGTAATGAAGAGGAAGAGGAATACAATAGGAAGTTTTTTTTCTTTAAAATAAAAATAAAAATTGTGGGTACTCACAACAAAGTTTGTTCACAAAAAGTGCTGGCACTTACCACGAAGTATCCCTTAAGTAGTGCTGGACAAAAAAAGGGATGCTTTAAAACAAAAGATGCCAGTACCATGTACTGTTGCGTACTGTCCAGGAAAAATGTCCTAAATACAACAGTAAGGACTGACTGGGAGAGGAAGGTTGACAGCAGTTTCCTAGGATATTAAAGGTTTAATTATAGTTTCATAAATTAATAATAAGCATTATTTTTTTTTAAATTGACTTTGTGAACTAATAATCAATTCTTAATATGTTATCTGGCTTAAAAATTGCTTTAAAAAATCTTAGGGTCTAGTTTTGGGGTAAAAAAGAAGAAAGCCGCTGCTCCTCGACAAGCATGTCATAAAAAGCGAGTGATTAAGGTTTGCCAAAATAAGATGTGTTGGGCCAAAATGTGCAGTAATCACAGCCTAGCTGTAGACCACAGCACAACGTAGCAACAGCCCTTTTAAGGACAAACAGAGAAGGAGAAGAATGGTTTAGGTTTAAACAACAGATCAACATCATGGCACAAGGGTAGTAACCCATAAGTACTCCGTTCTACTTCTGACTCAAGTCTGAAGTATCTCAGCACAGTGCACAAAGTCTGTAGCACTGGCGAGGATCCGGAAAATACTTTTGGGTAGTTTTTTAACTCCAAATTTTGCTCGGGAAGTGCCGTTAGGCTACTCATTTTTTTTCATGTTGGTAACATTACACGCTGGCCCACTTCCAAGTGACCAGAGAAAATTACTAGAAGTCCACATGAAAAAATCCCAGCCTTCACCGGGAACTCCAGCAGTCGAGACGGACACCATGCCTCGAGACCATGCAACCTAAAAACTGAGATGTGTACTATAGTTCGAAGTGTCTAATAGTCTGGGAAATATGGTATATCATGAATTGTAAGTGTCTGTATCATGAAAGATGACTTTGCATTGATTTCGACAGTGATATGGAGCCCTGACAGTTCAGAGCAATGGCAAACTAACATAAGACTGACTTATAAAACCACAAACATGAAAAACAACAACCAGCCCAAATTGCCAGGGTAGATTCTGCAACTTCCTGTAAAATGTTGGCAACAAATTGCTTTTATCACAAAACACAAGTGGCTATGTTTGATTAAATACATTAATGTCCTAAAATGCAAATAACCAGTAACTGATGTAATTATGAACAAATTACCTTGTATTGTTGCTCAGCCAATATAAAAAAGAATGAACATCTCAGGGTGAATATTGTGCGATACAATACATACATTTGTTGTTCTTTTTTTTTGTTTGTTTTTTCATTGTGCCAACCAGGCATTCATTTGTAAGAGGAAAATTGCTCTGATGTTTGCTGTTAAAACTTCATTTTATTTTCACAGAGTTGTCATATTTTCATCTTGTTAAAAGTAAGTTTTAGAAGTGATTTGTCAAATAAATGTATTGCATTACTTTGATCATTACCAAATGTAAATAGCCACAAAGCAGATTATTTATTATGTGTGAGTGATTTGCATCTGATTTAATATTCCACTTCTGTGTTTCATGATGGATTGGTTTTTGATCTGCAGTGTACCCAGGTGGGTTCCTTACCTCATTGGGGGTTGGTAGATGAGTGGGGGATAGACCCTTCCCCGCACCTAGCATGCATTGTTGTAAAATGTGGCTAATTAGGGCTTTGCTGAAATTGGGTCTGTTGGGCCAAATGGCACAGTTGTTGCAGCCTAGCTGTAACCCACAGCACAATGTGCCAGCCACCTTTTTAAGGGCAAACACAGAAGAAGAAGGAGAAGAAGAAGATCTGCAGTAAACATAGAAATAACCTAACAGTATGCCAGTTGTACAGATAAAGTACAAGACCCAGGAAACTTCATTGGTTTGTCAGATATATGGTGCTAGTTTCTAGACCAGCTGGCACTGGTTGGGTGATGTGGTCAGCATCACGCTGCCACCTTTGCTTCTTAGGACATTTTCTGGTACCCATTTTAGACTGGGTCAACCGGAAGCCTAGGTCATTTATTAAAGATCCAACTTGATGCTGGTTGGAATCTGAGCAGGCAAGCTATCTGGCCACTACTCTGCCATGGCACCTTTTTACCAGTTATATTTGAAAATAATAGATGCTGAAAATTCCCAACTTCTGCATTAGTATGAAGTTTTGCTTAACTGGCATATAAGGTTTGCATGTGTAGTAATTTTTCCACTGTGTGTAAATTTGTGTGTGTGTATGGACGATAATTGAAAATTCAAGATTTTTGTAATTTAAGGAGTGAAATTGTTCAGTTTGCACACAAATATACCTTAGGGTTCAGTGAATCAGTCAACACTTTTTTCACTTCTGGGTCCTCGATAGTTTTTAGGCATAAAGGCTTTCCCATCAACTAATAAAAACATGCCATTGGATAACTATGTTATATATATATATATATATACACACCCTTATATATATCTGTATATATGTAACATATAGTTATCCAATGGCAGTTTTTATAAGTTATATATATATATATATATATATATATATATATATATATATATATATATATATAGAGGGGGCAATAGTAATATTTAAATATGTGTGTATGTGTATATATGCACACACACACAATTACTCTACATGCCACCTAGATGTAGGTTAGACACCCACACACACAAAACCACACTCACTCACTGTTACTAACGACATATTTTATTTTGATTTAGTTCGGTCTATATAATGCTGTCACCACAGTGGTGTTTGGCTGCAGTGGAAATGTGCTTTCACTGCTGCATGAAGAAATATGTGACCAGGCCCTGTCTCTTTCACAGCGTGATTCTTCTAAATCAGTGAGGTCTTTTTCTAAACTACCGTGGCAAATTGAACGCTGTATTTCTTTAAGTGAGTTACTTAGTTGTTATTAAGTTTAATATGTACCCAGTATGGTGTATGTTATACACGTTAATATTTTATTACTGCAATAGCACTGATTCAAGTGAGAAATTGCAGCGCACTGATACAGTATTTTTTTTTGTTATGTTTGTTAACTGTATGGGTTTTTAGCATACAAACAGAAATGTTAAAAGCTGAAAGTTTAGGGAAAAAAAAAAAACGATTTGAATACTTAGATCTGATGTAATTGGTTATGTTTGTTTCTACAAAACTTTACCGAATTGAAAAGTAAAATTCCTTGACGCCTTTTTGGGTTATCTAGTGGTAGAAGGAATAAAAGTTTTATCGTAGTCATAATAGTGGTCATGACTGATTATTTTCTTTTCCCCCTTTAACCTGTCTGAAATGTGGGGGGAAAAGGGGGGGGGGGAGGATATTCCCTTTCCACTTTATCTATCAGCATAGCAGTAGAGCCAAGAGAATAAAGTATGGAGTTCTTTATGAGTGTATTAGTGCAGATAAGGGTATACAGTACTGGGACCTTTCTAAAAAGAAAGAAATTGTTAGTTTGACTTAGAGGATGTGACTTTAGAGTCTTGGGGGTGGTAAACCTTTAGGTACTTCTTCTTGATATTCTCTAGCTGTAAACTCCTGCAAAAAGTTATGGTTGTTCATCCACTTCTGGACTTTGATCTTGTTCATGAAATTCAGTTTTGAGCTCACATCCATTTTAGTCCTGTGTGCAGACTAGTTCTTCACCTATCAGAAAAATGCACTTCAAATGAAACACCGCTGATTAGTTGACTCCTATGACATGCTTGTTGGGGCAGTGGGTCTCTCCCCTCCAGTGCCCCCACCACCCCAGATAAATGAGGCCCTGGAAGCCACACCTTCAGGTGAAGCCCGGAGAAGAAAATAGACAGATGAAGACAGAAGATGATATTATTGACTTGTGTGTGTATGTATTAGTTTGTGGCTTTTTCAGTCATAGTGCAATTTTTATAACCTCATCATGTGATATACTTGCCTAGAAATTGTTGTTGCCAAGATTCTGAAATAAATTCTGTTATACATGAGCTGTAATTGTGTTACTTGATGTTTGTATGTTGTACCTGAGGGTCTCTATGGTGAAATACTTTAGCTGTTTGCCTCTCGTTTTGAAGTTTGTGGGTTTACTTTATAGAATGGGTCGTTTGCATCGCAATTCTATATTTACAGAGATCATTTGGGATAATCGCTGGAGCTATAACATTTGTGTGATGCTCTCGGCAAAAGATGTAATACAGGATACTTTGTATGTTATGTAATGTTATCACAATCTAGGTCACTGCACACTGGGCATTTCCAGGCATGCTCAGTCTTGCGATGCAGCATCCACCCCAAGGCAACTGTACTTATTGTTCCCATGAGAAGGTTACAGTATCTCCTGTCTTGCACTCGAAGATGGCACAGATGTGCTTCACTCCCAGGGAAATGTAATCGTGTTAACGTCAACGATTTATCATTACACAAGGATAGCTACTCATACATTCCTTGCGGTAGAAAGTGTCAACCATAGTGGACCAAATTACTTATATCCAATGAGTTGTATTATATATACTGAATGGCTGGGTACACCATGGAAGGCTCAACTGTTACAATTATTAAATATACAACACGCTAAAACACATACATTTTAAGATAAACACACAAACAGCGCTAAAACTTTCAAAATTTATTTAAAGAATTTTTGAAGGAAATATATTTTAAAAGAAACAACTTGACTGTTTAACTGAAAGTGTCATAAAAGGAGACTGCTTTTTCATAACGGGTGACTGCTTCAAACCCAAGGTGGCATTGGGAAGGTGCCATTTTCCCTCTGTTCATCCCAGGCGTTATACTGAAATAAACAGGTGAAACACAGATCATTTTCTGTTGGAGAGAGTTGTAGTAATTTTGATCATCAATGGTCATGCTGAATCAACTTACCTTAGCCAAAGTAGAAGTTATCTGTTCTTATAGTCTATGCAACTAGGACCGATGTCAATAATTCCATGCGCAGGCAGCAAGAAGAAACAACACACACAACCTTTCCAGTGACAAGTTAAAATATAAATAAATATATAAATATATATATTTGATTTTACTAGGGAGCTTCCCGTGTCGGCTCTGGAGGTTTCATTTCAGAGGGGAGAAAAGAACAGACTCACTGCCTGCCTAACAAGCAAGTTGTAAAAGGCGACTAATTAAGGATTTACTGAAACTAGATGTATTGTGGCTGAACAGCACATATACTCAGCCTAGCTGTAAACAACACTACAATGTGCCAACCACTCTTCTAAGGTTGAATACCAGACAAACTTGGGAGCTATGGTTATTGCTGTGGCCTGGTCAGCTTGGTAGTCATTTAGGAATATTTCTGTTAAAGTGACCTGGGCTTCCAGGACTACCCAGCTTAAAACAGGAAAAGTCTTGAGAAGTAAAAGTGGCTGGGTGAGTTTGAGCACATAGTCCAATAACGCCAACTGTTTATAAAAATAAGGGGATTTCACCTAATGCACTCCGAAGTCCTTTACTTTTTATTATTGTACAGGCAGTTTTGATCCTAAATACCAGAATTGTAAAAGTTTATATGAACCGGGAACAGCTGGACAATCATTGAAATATTATTTAGAAGTGGCGAAGATGTGGTTTTATAGACAAATGATGAGAATACCCTGGACAGATAAAAAGAATATGTATGAAGATGTTTTGAGAAAAACTGACTCACAAGGATAACTGATTGCCCACATGAGAAGGAGACAATCTACATTATTTGGTCATGTCATGAGAAAATCAGTACATGTATACCGTGAAAGTGGAACAGTTTGAGGGGAAAGGAGGCAGAGGGGGGACTGAGAGAGAAGATGCTGGACAGTTTTATATAACAGCATGAAGGATCATCCATATCAGAAGTGACTGAAAGTATATGAGACAGAAGGTTGTCGACAGGCACGACTACCGATGCCACACAGCATGGACTGAAAGATGAAGAAATAACTATAAAATCCTTGACAGTTCCCAACAATGTTAAACAGATCCATGTTTTTTGGGGGGGGGGGGGGGGGGGTGTGTATGTGTGGCAGTATGCTACAGTGCTTAGTACCCGTATTTTTTTGGGTATCAATTTTTTTCATCACGACTATAATAGACAACATTGTGGTGAGTATCAGCACCTCTATAAGCCACATATGGGTGAGTACTAGCACCTATTTTTCTAGAATCAAAGCCTTGAATACAAGTATATCTAATTGCAGATTTCTTCAGCTGTTTTCAAATATCAAAAATTAAAACTAGAGATAATTCATGTCATGGATGACACTAGTCACTAGTTAAATTATCCATGTGGGTTTTTGGGGCCCCACTGTATGGAAAACAAGAATAGACCCACTGCCTCCCCAACAAGCATATGACAAGAGTCAACTAATTGGCAGCTTCATTTAAAGTGGGAGTGCATCTTCCTGAGAGGCAAGGAAACAACAGTCTGCATATAACACATGAGTCAGATCTGCAAAACAGATGTGCATGCAACACTCAGGTTCTGGAATGGGACTACAGTCCAGAAGTGGACGAACAACCAGAAATTTCCGCAAGAGTTTACAGCCGGTGAATGTAAAGACAAAAGACTACTTAAATCACAATTTAACAATTTTTAAAACAAAAAAGTCGATTAATAATCTGATACCCAAACTGATGGACACAGATACTGGTAGGCCTTCTTGAAATATTCACACGGTTCATGATCTTCACCAAACTTGTTTGTGCACCGAATGTAGTCGATGTAGTTTGCCCAGCATCTCCTGCAAAAGACACATACAATTCAGTGAGAATGTCAAACGTCAATGGTTATATTTGAAATCAGGTATTCAGATAATCGCAGTTCCAGTGTCACAGCCAACTGGTCACCCCACAGCCTCTGCATTCCCGTGCCAGTACAAACAACCCAGAATGTCCATCCTTGCTGTTAGGTACGGCCCAGAGTACTTAGGGGTATGGTTGCGAGGGCTCTCGTTGATACTTGCTTAGGAACAGTATTCGCCCTAACAAAATTCAACACAAGTCAGCTTGAATACTAAGGTTAGTGTGATTTGAACAATCAAAAATTTCTCAATCAAAGTAAGGGTTACAACAATCTATTTCAAATGTGGTAAATATATATATATATATATTAGCATCTCTGACAAAATCAGTGATCTGGTATTTCAAACAACAGCAAAGATTAAACAATACAAACAGCTGGACAATATATAAGGTGAGCTGTTAAATTAAAAATACTGGCTGTGTAAAAGTACTTCTCACTGTACACAGTTAAAGAAATTATTTGCTGGTTCGGAATGAGTTATTATACATACATATTAAATTTTTTTAAAAAGAAAGTAAAGAACCTTTTTTACAGACCAATTCAGCACTGGATGGTAGATGTGATCAACATCACACCAACCACCTTTATTCACCAGGACATTGCCTGTACCCATTGAGGGCTGGGGTTTACCCGAAAACTAAGATCAATGTTTTCCCTAAAATGTGCCTTCTGTGCATTTCATCCAAGACCTTCAGGCTGGTAGGTGAGCATATGGCCACTATGCTACCCCATGGCTTCTGAGTTATGTTATATTTATTATATATATACAAAGTCAACAGCTTATTATACACACTGTAACAAGTCGACTCCAGCTGAAGAGCATGCTATTTTCTTTTTAAGCTGTTTCCCTTAAGGGGACAAACAACCCGGACTTTCGGCAAGGTTTTACAGTTGGTGAAGGCAAACAGACAACGCTGTTTGATATTTCATGCACTTTTCCACGCAATGTGTCACTTATATCCTGTCTTACTGGTCAGCCCCTGCCCCTCTCTCTTGACACCATGCTTTCTGCTATTATTCTTCTAATCCATCGTGGCACTTGATATGGCCAAAATATTTCACTTTTTGGGACAATTATCATCATATTTTGAACTTTTCTGAGATCAACTGCTGTATTTTAAAATGCATTTTTCAAAAAATTGTGATAACCATGTTATTTTTATCTATCCATGTGAAGTAGAGGATCTTATTCAAGTCTGATGCCCATGGACAATACCTGATTATACATGGTGCATATGTTGGCACTGAATGAGTTAACACTCAATGACTCAAAAAAGACACTAGTCAGATGAGAATCCAAAATGTCATCATCACATCCCAATGAGGAACAAAATTGTTTGTTATTTTAAAGCCTCGCCACGGCTGTAATCAGGGGCCCTAATATAATCTAACGGCTGAACGGGGTTTCTGGGACTTGTGCCCGGCTGATCCTCATACGAATGGTGGCACTCTGTGTCACCGGGTGTTTATCCCTTGTTGTGCAGTCCTAGTGGGGTTGAACACACAAAACCAAAAATAAACACACACACACACGAGAAACCAACAGGAATAAGTGCCAGAAACACTGTTCAACTATCTAACAGTTATCTGGAGCTCCCAATGATAACCATGTAAGCTGCAGTCCCATGTTGGAGGGTGTGCGGGGAGACTGTAACCAAACATAATTTACCTGGTTTGATTCTGGTTTGAAAAACGAGCATCAAAACCAGGATGCCACATCTCAACACACTTTACAGGCTCTTCTTTCTTGTCTTCTTCTTCTGCTTCTTCTGCTTGGACGTTACATTTACGTTGACACCTGTACAGACAAAACTCAATAATAATACAACTCAGAAACAAGCAGTAATTTAATTAATATTATTATATTTAACCCTTTAAGGTTATAATTGTGACACATAATCTTTCTAGATACTGGATATGTTGTCGACCTCACTCTCGCCTGAGTCATATCAGGGTCTAGTGGCAAGACAGGACGACTGGAGATATGTCTAGGTGAAGTGGATGACCCGGGCGTTCTACGCGCCTCGCCAATCTCTGTGCGCTCCACAGCGCTTTGCTAGTGTCGCCGTCTTGCTCGTTGAACCAACTGTGGTTTTTTCCAAGCATTCTGCCGACAGTAGTCTTTGCATGCTTGGATAGGCAGATCCTAACTGGTAAAAGAAAAACATCGGCTACCCTCACCCAGCTTTGCCGGCCTGTCAAAGCCATTGTCGGGGGATGGGGAAGGGGGGGGGTCTTTGGACTTTCCCCCCCAGGTCGACCAGCTTTGAGTGAGTACCAAGTGCAGTCCTGTGAAGTAAAGGCGGCTGACATGACGCTGACCACATCACCCACCAAGTGCTGATTGGTCTAAAAATATAAGTCTAGCCCTACATTCCCAATATGCCTACAGGTTTGAAAAAGGGACCTTAATCTCGGGTGTTTATTTATTCTCACTTGTAGCCTATTTACATTGAATAAAATAATCAGCTTTATATGCATCAACTTCCACTTTTTTTTTTATTTACTTATATATTTTTAACTGTTCTGACCAACTGGTGTCATTTAAAATGTTAGGGGCCTCAGGGCTTCATAAATTTTAGAACCTTAGCAAGAGTAAATCTGGCCCTGTTTTTATCATTAACAACCAGAATTTTCTACTGGAATTTACAGCTTAAAAGAAGAAGTGAGTCCAATTAATTGTAAACATTTTTTTTCAAGCAAGATCCACTCATTAATGCATCATTCAAAGAAGAAAATATTTAATTTTGTTTGCCTTTCCTAACCCTTCATACTGGAGAAAAGATTATTACTGATGTGCACTGAAGATAGAGGGAATACATCAATATGATTTATTTATATTTCAAAAATAATCATTAGCAATTATTAAAGACATATTTGGTGACAGTCAGTGGGAACGAACGAACGAACGAACTTTATTTTCAAAGGGTTACAAATTGGGCAAGCAGGCCTGTCTTACATTCGGCCCTTCCAGTCAACCATCTTTCGCACAGCAGTTGTATTTTACTAATAAAGCATGTTATGGTCTTATGATGATATGCATATTATGAATATTATAAAAGAACACAAAAGCATGAGTAATAAAGTGCATGCAAAAACCCGCACGTGCATGCATGCATGCACGCACGCACACACACACATACATACAGGCATACATACATCGATACAGGCATACATACATACATACACACACATACATACATACATACACACACACACACATACATACATACATACATACATTCATACATACATCGATACAGGCATACATACATACATACATACACACACACACACACATACATACATACATACATACATACATACATACATACATACATACATACATACATACATACATACATACATACATACATACATACATACATACATACATACATACATACATACATACATACATACATACATACATACATACATACATACATACATACATACATACATACATACATACATACATACATACATACAGGCATACACACATATATATATATATATACACTCATACATACACACATGCAGAAGAGATGTGCATAATTTGTTTGAGGAATCTAAAGGACATAAGAACTATTCATAGAAATAGTTTGTGAAATACGTTTTCAGTGGTTGAAAACTCTGATGGTAAGCTTGAGCTGTTCGTCCACTTGCAGACTTTAGTTTGGTTCCAGAGCCTGAGTTTGGTATGTACATCCATTTTACAGATCTGGTTTATTTGTATACAGACTGTTGATTCCTCCTCCTCCTTCAGGCAGGTGCACTCTGACTTCAAGGAAAGCTTTGTTAGTACTTTTGAATACCAAAGTGAAGCCTTAATACAACATTCTAAGAAAATATTTTACGGTGGCTAGTGATTAGTGATTAGAAAGAACTTTCATCACAGCACTCCAATCCATTCTTGCCTGATAAATCCAGCTTGGATTTTTTTAAGCATATTCATCAAGTCACTAAGAATGCATACGTGTGTGAACTTTTTGAGTACCAAGCCATGCTAAAGCCCTTGTTACAGCCATAGTTTCCATTGTAAGGCTACTAGTTGTAATAGCAAAGGCGCCATTCATCTCCTTGATGGTTTTCCCCCTTGAGCTTACTGTGAAGGCCCATGCACTTCGCTTGCCCCTAATTACTGACCCATCTGTGTAAACTACAGCATCACCCTCATCTGTGTTTTCGTCAATCAGTGTTCTGACTAAAGTGTCAACAATGCCAGGAATCTGCTCTCTACGGCTTCCATCAAGTGTGATACGGACTGTAATATTAATGTTTGGAGAAGGATGCAAAATTATCCATTCATTTCCAAAATTAATGTCAGTAAGGCGGCAACAATGTTCGATGGCATCCTCAGCCCGACCCATCCAGGATTTGCCTCGTTTGAGTCTACTCATTTTTTGCTTGAATAATTCCTCATAAAGTGGGTGTCGATGGTCTGACTTCATTTTGAGGAAAGCAACAGCCCTGGATAGCTTGCTTCTGTTTTCCATTGTGGGGAAATCAAAGAGGTATCGCATAGATTTACAAGAGGTGCATCCAAGAATAATGCGCATTGCCTCGTTTTCAATTTTTTCCAGTCTTATGATTCTTTGCAATTATAAAAAATGAGATCAGCAGAGAATGGAGAAGACCAACCTATTTGCCGTCCTTATAAGGATGACATTTTTTCGTTATTTGAAGCCCCATCCTGGCTCATGCCAGGGGTCGCAATATACCCAGGCCATAAATATGGTCAATTGGCTGAACGCGGTTTCTGGGACATCTCCACAGTGATCCTCATCCGCATGGTGGCGCTTTGTGTCATCGAGTGTTTTTCGCTTGTGTGATGTCCTGGTGGGGTAGAAAGTCAGTCAGTCAGAATGGAGAATGAGAAGCAGCAACGAAATTCATAATCTGTAAAAATCTCCACTAATTACTGGTAAATAACAATGTTATTAATTAACATTGTTAATGGAGGTGAACACAGTGTTAACCCAAAGGTTCTGAATGGTGAAGAAAAATGGTCTGTGCCGATGACATCAAGATGATTTCGTAATTAATATAAAATTTTCTTACGGTGGTGGTATCTTTGGCTGGCACGGCTTGTCACTACTCATTGTGGTTATTTATCGCTAAATGATAGTTTAAAGCCTCAACAGTTCAACCGTTAAGCAGCTTGTCGGCGGCTACAATCCGGAACCTCATTGCCAGATGGTTGCTACCGTCGCATGCCTTAGAGAGCATTGCCGCGTGCCAAAGGGGATTGTTAGTTTCAAGGAAGCTGAACTGGTCTTGCAGTGGATACCAGCCCACTGTGGTATTCAAGGAAATGAGAGAGCAGATGAGTTGGCAAAAGCTGGGAGTAATCTTCCACAATCTCATCCACCACACAGCTACAAGGAAACCGAAACAGCGCCAAAGCAGTATTTCAAGCGGGAGTGGAGAAGGCAGAATGGAGATCACAGACCAGAGAGTGACAACATAAACAAACTCAACAGAAAAGAACAAACAACAAATTTTAGAATTCGGACTGGACACTGTGGTCTTCGAGCACACCTGTACAGGATAGGCATAAAAGAATCTGCTGCCTGTGATTGTGGAGCAGAACGACAGACCCTTGGGCACATACTACAGTACTGCCCTTACCTCTCCCAGCAAAGACTGTGGATCTGGCCCAAGAGAGCCACAGTGAAAGAGAAGCTATGGGGGACAGATGGCGACCTTAAACTCACAATCCTATTTGTGACCCAGACGGGACTCAATGTTTAGCATGACTGATGTCGAACGCAGAAGAAAAAGAAGAAGAAGTAGTTAGTTTCAATGGAATTTTTTTTTTCCCGACACCTTCAACCCTGGTGAGTGAGTAGGGCGGTATTGCTTACTTATCTACTTTCTTCTTCTTCTTCTTCTTCTTCTTCTTCTTCTTCTTCTTCTTCTTCTTCTTCTTCTTCTTCTTCTTCTTCTTCTTCTTCTTCTTCTTCTTCTTCTTCTTCTTCTTTATCTTCTTTTTCTTTTTCTTCTTCTTCTTCATCTTCTAAGCTTCGGCGTGTTCATGGAACAAGGCGTGTGCTATAGCTGCTATTTATTTGCTGGCTGTGGCTGCAACTTGGCCGACTACATGTGGAGAATGGTCAGTAATAGTTTTAATCTACTTATGGCCCAGCTATTCGTCGAAGGAAGTTGATTTTCAGCGATGACGCCTAGTCTCGCAGTGTGTTTAAAGAGACATGCGCCTTATGGTTTGCCAGATCAAATCATGTGTGTTTTGCTGACTGAGGACACTTTGTATGGCTACGGCCATTCACTTGAAATATCCAGCGTAACTGACTCAGTTTGTGACTGGGATCACTGGCATAGGCGGTTGAACAATTATGGGCCAAGCTCGCTTGCTGTGATGCCGGAACCGCAACGACTAACTTCTAACCGTTCACAGGCTGTAAACTTTGGCGAAAAGTTATAGTTGTTCGTTTTTTCCCCTGGATTTTACGCTTGAGTATTGCGAGTATATGCGTTTTACAAATTTGCCTATTTCTATGAAGACTGTTGGTTCCTCACTTTTCAGGCAAAAGCGCTCTTTCGTGGGAAACTCTCCTAATTAGTCGCATTGAACGACATGTTTGTTATGGTGAAAGTGCTTGTATTCTTTTCTCTACCTGAGCGGAGTCCCGGAACCCACACAAGGAGCTTTAAACTCATTATTTCTATGAAATGTTACTCTAAGGAATAAGTGTTTGGGTATGAGGAGGTAAAAAATAGTGTGCTAGAAAACTCTAAAGCATATAGTGTATCAGTGTGTGTCTACTGCAGGAAAGCTGTATGAACACCTTACAGGTGAATTCACATAGAAAAAAAAAAAACCGAAAGTAATGTTTGTTGTTTGTTAGGGTTCAACGGTTGTAAATCTGCGCGCAAAGTGGTTGTTCTTTTATTTCTGGACTTTGGCTTTGTTACAGAACCTGCGTTTGCACGTGTATCCTTTTTGTAGATTTTGCTTATTTGAATGCAGGCTGTTGGTTCCTTGCCTCTTAGGCAGATGCACTCAGACTTTGAAGGAAGCTCCCAATTAGTCGACTTTAACGACTTGCTTGTTGGGGAGGCTATTCTTGTTTTTCCCACAATGGGACCCTGAAACCCACACCTGAGATAGTTACAATCACGATATGTGTGTGTGTGTGTGTCGTGTTCTCTAACCAGCGAGAAGCTGCAGTGACCGCCTCCACCTCCATTCCTATACTGGATGTTGTGTTATCATATCCTAGGCTCTCCTGCATCAAACGTCAACCACTAACCTTTGCAAAGAAACCCCCAAGCACTTCTTTTGCCTCTTGACACTGAACCGTCTGTATAAACTATGATATCCTCTCAGCGAGCATTATCTTGAATTAATTGCTGAATTTCTACCTCCGTTTCACCTGCTGGCCAGTCTCTGCATTCCCAGCTCAATGTGATTATGACTCTACAAAGATCTGACTCTTCAGCTGGCACCTTGATCCACTCCTCTCATCAACTAATGTTCTTCGGGATGCAGACTTGTCTGATTGTGTCTTCTGCCTGAGCCATTCATGACTTTCCTCTTATCAGCTGCTGACCTTTAACTGAGCCCAGAGCCTCGTGCAAAGGGTGATCTGTGTCTGCAGCTACTTTGAATTATGACTTCGCCTGCAGCACCTTGTGCTTACCTGCAACAGTCGGCAAACCAGTGATGTATCTCATACACACCACGGTGGTTTTTCTTGTGCAACCCAGAATGATCAGCATTGTTACATTCTGTATGCGCTCTAGTTTGTTCATCTGACTCTTTGATACGGTAAGCAGGGCCAGGCCATAATCAATCACTGACAGGATCAGTTGCTGATATAATGTGAAGAGCATTCTCTTCTCTGTGTCAATTGCAGCCATAGTCTTAAGCGCACTGAGTAATTTTTAGCATTTTGTCACAACACTGTCCATATGATCTTTGAAGGACAGGCTCTTGTCAAATGTGATTACTAGATACTTCAGTTTGCTCTCTCTGTTGACGTTTCTACCAATACATCAGCACTAACGATTCTGTTGTCTAAAGAACACCACAAAAGACACTTTTTTTCTGGTCTACGACAGCCCTCATTTATGTACACCACTCAGTCACATTGTCTACTGTCGCTTGTAGCTCTCGGGCTGTTTGTTTTCTCTCTTCTCCCTGCATATATGCAAGTATATCATCTGCAAAAGTCAGTATCCTTCCAACTCCCGGTTCTACTAGGCTAGCAATCTTGCTCGTATACACGTTGAAAAGCACAGGCGAGATGGCGGATCCCTGTGGCAGTCATGGGGCTAAACTGCATGGTCCTAAAGGTCCATGAGCCCTGTCGGAGAGCAACCCGACGCGAATACAGGACAGCTGTGGCTGCAGTGAAGCAGCTAAAGAAAGTTACGAGTTTTCAGGTTTGAACAACGGAACAACATCATAGCACCAGGGTAGTAACCCATAAGTGCTCCATTCTTCTTCTAGCTCAAGTCTGGATCCGAAGAAGCTCAGCACAGTGCACAAGCTCTGTAACACCGGCGAGGATCCTGAAATACTTTGGGTAGATTTTTAAACTCCAAATTTTGCCTGAGCAGCGCCGTTAGGTTACTTTTTAATTTTCAACTGCCAACTAATTTTTTACGTGCGCAACAATTCACGCGATCTTCCTACCCAGAGACCGAGGGAATTACTAGAAGTCCAAATCCACGTGAAAAAATCCCATCCCTTACCAGGGATTGAACCCGGAACCTCTAGCACTCGAGGCGGACACCATGCCTTGAGACCACGCAGTCCCCTATAAATTATAATAGACACCCCACCCCCCAAGCTCACGAGAGGAAGTGGAGACGGCGGAAAATGTGGGGGAAGAAAGATAAGACGGAGGTTTTCAATCGCTGTGCTGCAGAGGCCAAAAGAGCAAAGTGAGAAACTTTAAAGGCGATAAAACACTGTGGAAATTCAGGAAACTGTAAAGGCAGGTGCAATGAAAAGATCGGCCTATGACAGTGGGAACAATTTGTAAAGACGATGATGTACACATGACAACAGACAAGGAGAAAGGGGAGGCTTTTCTCCGTAAGTTTATAGCTCAGACAGATCATAATGATGTAGACATCAGGGATGCAGTTAGAGAGGAGTTAGCTGACACCATAAAGATTATGAAGACATTACACTGCACTAGGGCACCTTTGGGGTCAGGTATGGCCACATGAAGGCTTTGAGCTATGTAGACCTGGTAGAGATGACTGACTGCTTTAACCAGAGAATTAAGACAGTACCGCAGGACTCTGTGCACAGCTATCTAATTCCACTGCCAAAACCTTTTAAGGATCATTCTAAGCTCAGAAGCATTAGAATCATCACCTTACAAAACACATTTCTGAAAGCGTCTTCAAAGAGGTCTGTGAAGCTACAGACCAGGAAAGGACACATGGGCACTTTGCTTTTGACGTCTGTAAAGAGTTCCAGAACAGTCAGGAACCGATAGTAATGACTGGCAACTAAAAATAGAAGGTAAAGGACGAACCGTGTATGAACCTCATATGAGCACAACATAATAATGAATGACACAAGAGTATTTGAAATTGTAGTTTTCACATCAATATCTAGTTTGATAATGGAGGTAGAGGCGGTCACTGCAGTCTTTTGTTTGCTTGAGAATCAGCTGCGCGCACATGCTATGATTGTAACTGACTCGCAAAACATAATAAGACAGGTGGAGAAAGGTATGCCCCAAGCAGAGTGACACGCGTCGCTTTAGACGTTCATGGTAGTTAGCATCCTTTGAACATTTTCTCCGGGAATGCATGTGTGTTGGGAAACGAACAGTGCAGAACCTGCCAGTCTATCTGCGGCAGATAGACTAGCGGGTTCTGCACCACTCTGTGGCAAACCACAGCCATCTTTAGATATAAATAGCCCTGAAGATGGGCGTGGGCAAACTGATGCTTGACAAGCTAAATGTTGTCAAGGCCATTTGGAAGAGAGTAAACTGAGCAGAGTCACAATTAGATTATTATGGTCAGAGAGTCGTGCAACGGGGAGGGACCAGGAAATCTGGCCGGCACTCAACACTCAGAGAAGAAGCATGACGAACATATCTTTAAACTG